GTCACAAAACATTTCATAGTGTGGACAGACCTCTAGTGATGCCTAAGAATGGGTATTGCATATTTTGGATAAGAAATAAATGAAGGTAGATTGAACTAACCATAGTTTCTGATGAGAATGTTGAGACAAGCTAGTGTTGAGAGTTTTAGAGCACGGTGGTTTTTTCGCAAGAATGAAGCAAGTATCGGCATTCCATTGTTCTGTAAATACAGCGAACAATTCGGAGAGTAAAGTAGATAAATAATAGATTGGTTGGCGTATATTATTGGGTCACTGCAGGCTATTTTAAACAACAAAATAATGGATAAAATAATCGAAGAATAAATGAATAAAGAACAGAAAAGCAATTAACCACAATTTGTTATGAATTTATATGAATTTGTAAGGCAAAATCTTTTATATTAGAATAAAATTTAATGTTAAAACAAATATGCTAATGAGATGTAATTCAAACTGTCATGCCTTATAACAATGTAAACATAACAAGCTCCAATTCTGTGAGTGGTTGTGTGCAGCGCTTATCCTCATATTGATCTACATGCCACTGACAACCATTAAAACATACTGTGTACATATTAGCATCATTATTTACTACCAGTGGAGTTGTTACTATCATTTTGCACATAATGTAAATATGTAGCAGACTCACATTAACAAGCAAGGGGCCAAAACGTTTACTAGAAAAAGAAGGAAAATCTTACCAAGATAGAGGAGATGTCCAGCTTGAGGGGTGAAGAAGCAATCAATGAGAGCGCCTTCACTGTTGTAAGTCTTGTGATTTCATTCTTAAGGCGTTCCAAGAATATTGGCAAACAAACATTCAGTTCAGATGTTAAATGATCACCTAAATTGGCAATGATTTGGCTCCTATAACAGAAGAAGATGGAAGACACTATCAAATTAGGTTCAGGATAAAGCAACAATAAACGGTGTAACAGGCATTATTTTATGTAACTACGAAAACATAAATTGAGATGGACAGGACTATTACAAAACATCTTGTTTATACAGCAGCTGGTATCAACCAATAATAGCTGGCCTTCTTCAATCCTGGAAGAGCAGAGTGTTAAGCCTGGTTTTGTTTACAGCTTATAACTACCAAAACTAGGTAGCATTCTTTTGGAACACACATGCTGATGTTCTAAGCCTGATCTTACTTCTAGTTTTTAAATACACAAAAATGAAAGATAATTACATGCATGAGATAGCACGCTCCTTGACCTCTTGGTCAATGTCAGCTGCTCTCAGACGGGTCAATGTGCAACTGTAAAGGTCCATCACATATGGAGTGAAATCAAATTCCACTTCACAATCTGTACAGGACGATAAAATATTTACTAACCATTGTAGCCATCATAATACTCATCATCAAAATGTGATCATCAGAGTCAAATTATCTACATCATAGTCAGCATAATTATCAACATCATTGCAATGCCACCATCAAGATCACAAACCATTATTTTCATCACCATTTTCATTATCATCATCCTCATCATCAGCACCATCCTCAACACCACTGCAACCAATGCCATCACCATTACCACCACCATCACTATCACCACCATTATTATCTTTATCATCATGAACACCATCACCATCATTACCACCAACAGGATCATCAACAACATCAACACTTCCATCCTACCAACACTACTTAATAAACGGGTGCTCACCCAATGGTCTAATAACTTGTATCATGGTCTGTGTAACCATCAGTGCCTCAGATGTGATTTTGTAGAATGGATCTCCTACAGCGCTTACAACAGGCTGTTCATAATAAAGAACATGAATATGCATAAGCACTTTGGGATATGATATCATGAATATGCCTATCAATTCACTATAAAATATGAATATACATCATTTTAGAATATGATATGAATATGCATAAGCAATTTGAGTGGACATATCAAGAATATATTTATTGAATATACAGAAACTCATTATGTCAAAAAGAATTTGACAGTAAAGAATATATTTATTGAATATACAGAAACTCATTATGTCAAAAAGAATTTGACAGTAAAAGAACTCACCGTAATAAGTACATTAATGTGGTTATGGAATACATGAGGAGTGTGGTTACACATTAGGCAATTCAGAAATGCTAGTGTGTCAATCTTCATATTTGAACTGCTATTCTTCTCCCTAAGAATAATAAAAAAAATACAAAGATTAGCAAGTTAAAAAGAAGGACTACAAGTTTCTTTTTTAAGACTACAATTACTTTTTATAATAAAGATGATAATGATAACAATAATAATCAAAACATCATCAAATCTGAACAACAAAATGAAACAAAATATTTTACACTGAAACCAATATTACACTGAAACCAATATTACAATGAAACCATCTCACTGATTCATTATCATTATACTTGTGGTTGCAAAGACTTACACAAAACAACCAACAACAACAAAAACATAAGAAAAGGATCGACCCCAAAACACAACTCAACCTTTCCCTAAGGTATGTTTATTAAGGGAACCTAAAAGAATATGCGTATCAGTTTACAATAAATTTATATGACTTATTTATGAACATGTTAGATTTATTTACCCAAGTGAAAACTGTACTCCTGGTACGAGTGCAGCAATATGGTTGTTGAGAGATCCTGGAATCACATGGATCAATTCCGTCAGTAAAGCAAAGCATCCCTGACGAGTCTTGATGCTCTTCTCCTTCATCTGGCGATGAACTGCCTTCACAATGTCAGGGATCTGCTGCCTCAGCATAGACACTGGTCTGCAACATAGAAAATCGAGCAAGTACAAATTAGAACTTTCTGAAGTTCTAAACTAGTCCACATATTGCTAGCATCCCTTAACTTATCCTGGTAAGATGGGGATAGACAACTTGCTGACTTAACTTTATTCCATGATTTATTGGTTTGTAAGAATAGGAAATACTTGTATACTTCATTTAAAGCAAAGGAGATTACGAGGAGATGATCATGGAAAATATTTGATAGAATTTAAAGAAGACAAAAATCAAAGCACAGGCAAAGCTAAAATATACTAAATCATGTAACAATTAAAGTATCTTTTATAAATAATGTTAAAAAATGCAGACAAATGGTTAAGTTTTTTCATAATTCGTGTAGAAATTGAAATTAGAGATATTCCAAATATACTGACCCTTCTTCCTGATCCATGGCATCAGGGTCAACAAATTCTGTGTGTGTTGGTCTTGTTTGTTTCAACAGAGTAATAAATGCTTGGAAAATATCAGATTTTACGTTCTCTTCTCGCTCTAACGACAGGAAAATAATAGCATATTATGAATCATTGGGAGCAGCTGACATAGTGGCTCTTGTTCAGGCTTTCATCCTGAAGGTCACAGTTTGAATTACATGTTGTAAATTTTGTGTCTCTTACATGGTCTTAGGGATTCAGATAGTTACTTTGAGTTGTAATGTGTTTTTAATTCAATAAAATCCAAGAAAATTATTTTGCTTGGCTGATAAAATGACATTTAAAAAAAATTTATACAAAATTATGTAACAATAACATATATCATTATGAATATCAATATTGAATATGTAGCACATTGTAAATGTTTCATTTAAGGCTGTGCCTTACTAAGAAAATGAGACAGTACTTATTAAGGGCCCAGCCTATTATTAAAAAAATTGTAAACATAAATAACCTTTAAATCGAGCAATGAGAGCTGGAGAAACTGTTCGGTAGAATTCTGATAACATCTCATGACGTGTCCCCATGATGGCTTGCAAGCATTTTGCTGATGCACGGCGCACCTTCCAACTCATATCATCGTCATCACTGTACTCATCGTCACTTTCACTGTATAAGAATTTCAGCAAAAACATTATTAGTCATTGAATTACATTAACTTTCCATCTCATACATCCAATTATTTTTTGGGGTCTTTTTTTATTGGTGGATTTTGTTTTTCTTTTTTCTTTGTGTCTTCTTCATCTTATTTGCTTCTTTTATTCAACTTCATAAATGCATTGGTATTCATGATTAAATTTTGTTTGATGACAATGATTGTCATTATAGATGTATGGGTTGAAATAAAAAGAATTAGTCAAGAATTTAGTATCTTGAATAGAATTTAATGAATGTTTTCTAAATGTTGTCTTTTAAATGATTTATTTAAAATATTACTTTGCGATCGACCAAAATTTGACATGTAATGTAAAAAAAGGCATAGGTCTATACAGTACAGTAAATTATACAAGTGGTCTTTTCAATATACACAACGAATGATCCCTACCCTTCATCATCCTCATCTGCATTATCTGCATCCATTGCATTTTCATCATACTCATCATCATCTGCGTCATCATAATTATAATTTGGATCATAGCACAGATACTCTAAACACAGCTGAATAATCTGCAAGCAAGCAAAATAGAACACCATAAAATTTAATTTAATATTCTAACTTAAACTTTATTTAAATTTAATTAAAAATGTAATTATTAGTTGTAAAACTTCATGTTCAGATAGATTGATAACAATATTGTTAATTACTATTGTTAATTCAGAGAACCCATCTAAGTTTTATTATGTGGATATGTGCTGCATCATATCCAATCCGATGATTTAAATTGAAGGCTGTTTAAGTCTAACAGAATGAATTGAAATTCTTAATATAAAGTAATATTTAACAATTAACAAAAAATGTTGTCTGCCTTGTTTTTAAGAAATGAAATATTTTATACTAATCTGCAAGTGGCTGTCAACAGGTTAATGCTGATTTAGCATTTACATTTTTTTTAAAAAACAAACAAATATTTATAGTGTATCTTACTGTATTCATGTGCGGTGAGACTTCCTTCGGGCAACGTCTAACAAATGATTCAAAAGCCTGAAAAACATTCAACAATCATTTAATAATAGCAATAATGATGATGATGGTGACGATGGGTAGTGATACGGATGATGCTACTGAGGACGATGATACTAGTGATACTGATGCTGTTAAAGATTCTTGTAAGGATAATGGTGATGATAAAGATTACAACGATAATGACAATGATAATGGTGGTTATGATGGTGATGATGATGAAGGTGGAGAGATGATAATATTGATACTGATGATGATGACAATGTTGATGATGATACTAGTGATACTGATGATACTTGTGATGATGATGATAATAATACTAGTGATGATGATGATAAAGATGATGATGATGATGATGGTGGTTATGATGATGATGATGATGAAGGTTGAAAGATGATGATGATGGTGGAGAGGTGATATGATGATGATGATGGTGATGTTGAAGATGAGATGATAATCATACAATTTACATTGTAAATCATACATACATGTTGTATACAGTACCTTAAAGCCCCATTCCTGGCAAAATTTCACTAAAAACTGACTTTTTTTAGAAAATATTCACTTGCATTACTCCAATTATTATAAATCATGGAAAAATATTGGCATGAATTTTAGTTTTACGCAAAAGAATAAAAAAAAAAGAGAAATACAGACTATTTCTCATAAAATATTACATTTTCTGGATGAATTCATCGTTACTAGGCAAATTCAGAGGTTGTAGATCGCATCCACTGGAATACTCTTGCTTTTATGTATACTTTTATACAGTCAATAAAGTGCGCCCTCTCTAATGAGATTAATTTTTGTACTTCGTATCTCGCACAATGCGGTCGTTCGATTAAGGCTGAGATATTTGTTTAAGTGTCAAAATGTCAGTCAGAATCAGTTTTTTAACAAATTTGAAATAATTCCTATGAAATATTATATTTCACAAGTGTCAATACTAGCAACGGAAAATATCAAGATTTTTCTTAAAAATTGAAATTTTGCCAGGAATGGGGCTTTAAGAACTATTTATAAAAATAAAAAAAAATTCACAAACAGCTTGAGAATAAAATAGGTCACTGACCTGTATACAGTATTCTCTCAACTCATCATCACCTTCAACTTTAGAAAAGCTAATAGTGAAAGGCAGGATACGCTCCAAATGTTCACCAATGCGATGACCAGCATGACGACTATGAAAAATGAATTTTCATATCATTTGCATATTTATCACTATATTAGGTAGATATACTTTGATTTACTGCTAATATTTAGCAGTAGAAATGTTAGAATACAAATAAATGTCAATAAATAAAGTAAAGTGCTATGTACTATAAGTATAATACCCAACAGCTAAACACTTAGTGAACAATGTGTTGTTGGCTTACCATATTGCTCCAATGCATTGTATGAATGTTCTTGTGTAGGAAACATTAGTGTTATTATTTAGTTGTTCGAGTAAATGATCCATAAGTTTCTGGAAGAGATTAGCACTGCAGCTCATCACCAGTTGACCTAAGGTCAAACAAATTAACGAAAAAGCCACAATTTAAAAAAAAAATGTATACATAAAGGCAGCATGTATTAAAAAAATGTATACATACAGGCAACATGTATAATTTTATAAATTAAAATTGAGTGGAGTAAGGTGCTTGCTGTCCAATGCTCAGGCCCTGTGTTAAAATATTATCAAATACCAGGGATTTTTTCTCACAAAAACCGAAAGGTCCACTGATTAATCTCAGATAAGATAGTATAATACATGCTCGAAGTACTGTATTGAAATGCACGCTATCGTGTTGGGATTCAATATTTCGACATTAATTATGTCATCATCAGGAATGATTCCTGATGATGACATAATGAATCCCAACACAATGGCGTGCATTTCAATACTTAGAGTATGTATTATACTATCTTTTTCTCACAACCAACACAACTCCACTCTCTAAACCTCATAATGAGACTAGTTTGTGTAGAGCATCTTGAGCATATGCTTGTCTTGTGATTGCCACTGTGAGTAGGACAGCGATATAAGGTAATGTTTACATATAAATTAATCAAACAAAATTGTTACACATATAAAAAAATTGCACATAAATTAACACATATGGCACTACATACCAATACACATGCACTCACTATAAATTCAACAGAAACTGAATTACCTAGAGCAAGGATAGCTCTTTTGCGAACAGCCATTCTAGCACTGGTCAGTTGTGGAAGTAAGGCATCGAGAATGGAGGCATGGAAGTTGAGAAGAAGTCCACCAAATCGGCTCAATAAATCACCAAGAATATCAAGGGCTTCCAGCTTAACTGATACATCTTCCTGCTGTCAAAATAAAATCACATATTTTATCAAATAAGGAAATTTCTCAAAATAGCAGTAAAATATTGCCAAAATATATGCTGACATATCTACATGTTTACTAACCGAAGTGCACAAATAATACATAAATTAAATTTGAGAGGGAACACCTTTAATCGAAAAACTGTCTACCTCATTATTTTGCCTACCTTAGAATGTTCCTATTCTACCTTAGACATTGCTTACCTTTGAAATGGCACTTGTTAGCCTACCGGTGATCCGTTTGCAGATGTTGGCGGCTAGTGGACTCGAGGCTGGCGGCAATTCGTTAATCACAGTCTTTAGACCTGAAAAAAAATTTTAATTTCATTATTCATGTTATTATTCATAAAATTACAATACAAATAATTTAAGTTATTTTTATTTTTATTACCATTATAATCAAAATGTTTAAATTACAGTATATATTTGTTATTACAGTATTGAGTTACTGACACAATGCTTGCCCGAGGTTGAATCAAGTGTTAAAAATTGGGAATTAGGATTAAAAAATGGTATAACATGGATTTAATTGTATTTTTTTTATTAAACATGTAGGCTCTTAAAAGACACAATGAGTGATGGATTCAGGAATTTTAAATAGAGAGGGCCCAGGGAGCGACTTTCACTGATGGAGAGACTAGACAACCTCAGCCCCAGAATGGTCGGAACTGAGCAAAGGAAATTTATGATTATAGCACCTCTAAATTGTTGGAAATGGCACTCTTAGACTTAGAATTTGAGTATAATTTTCTTTCTTTCTCCATTTTTTTCCATTTTGAAAAATTTATTGTTGGGAGGGCATGGGCTCCCTTAAATCTGCCACTGACAATCGTAAAAAGACTATCTGGAAAAGCTTTCAATCTCTTCCGCACTGTACTTGGCACATATACTTACCGATACTTGATATGTCTCGTAGTTGTTCTTTGTCAGACAGCATGTTACTGCAAAGTGTATCAACAATCGTCTCTACTTGAAATTCCTTAACCTTAGAAACCAATGGCCCAAGACTTTTGTAATAAAAACAAAAATATAATTAAGAAATGTCAAAACATTATGGGTTTCAATGTCAAAACAAATGTAGCAAGAAAATGTCAAGTAAACATTTTAAACATCACCACCAGGATTTGATTATTCTTTTTCTGTGGTGACTAAACTATGAGGACTAGTTTGTATATTATTGCTCTAGCAACTGAACTATAATGACATATAGCAGTGTATACTGTTGCTCTAGCAACTGATCTATGAGGACAAGTTGGTATATTGTTGCTCTGGCAATCAAACTCTCAAGTAAGTAAGCAAAAACTTTGCTGTGGTACCTAAATAGGTACAAGTTGTTATATTGTCCGCAATTGCTATGGCAACTGAACTATGAGGGATGGAAAAGTTGGTATATTGTTGCTCTGGTAACTGAACTATGTTAACAAGTTTTTATACCCTTACCTGGTAACTAAATTGACGACAATTTGGCATACCACTATGGATTTTCCTAGTTATGAACAATTGATATACTGCATGCATTGCAATTTAATAGGGAATAAAGAGATGAAGATTACAAATAAACACACAACCCCACCCCATAGTGTCATGGATCGGTGATTCATTGCCATGATTAAAGATGAAGATTACACCTACCATTTGACAGCTAGATTTTGAACTTCACCATTCTTGTCTTCAAGTAGTTTCAGCAACATTTTAACCACCTGTATGTATAAAAGATAATACAATAGATGGACTGATAAATAAAATTAAAAATATAATTATATTATAGAAAAAAATATTCAACATTTTTAATTTGCTACTGTATACTGTAGAGATCATTCTTAATTTTAAACATATTTTCCTAATTTAAAATAAAAATATCTACAGTAAAAATAAATCAATCATCATTGAAACGACATAAAATTTAAATAATCCATGTATCATCCATAAATCTCATGATTTTATGATACTTTAATGCACTGCACAAACTATGCTGAATGATCACTCTTACAAAAAGGCATATAAACAAAGATTATACAATAATTAATCAATCATCATTAAATGGCATAAACGCAGTAAAATTTATTAATCATTATCAAAATGGAATAAAAAGAGTACCTTCTCTTTGGTATTTTTCATAGAAATGCTAGCCAGTAACATTTGTTGATAAATACATTAAAAAATTGTTTTACTTTGATAAATTTCAACTTACAGAGATGGTTAATTAATGGGAAACACAACAATTTGGCATGTAAAAATAAGACCAACTTAGAAATTATTTGATAGGCAAAGCTGACTTAAAGGCAAGTTTAACTGTGCACACAATGTATTTAATTGTATAATAAGATTCACCAAAAATATAAAATGTCCAATAAATGTACTTGCTTTTTTCTCACTGTCATCATCCAATTTGATGGAATCCTTCTGTAGTTCTGTCATTAGGTCATTTGTTGCCATGAAACGAAAATCCTTATCACTTGATGTCATCTACAATGAATAATATAATAACATAGTGTTATTTGCAGTTTGTAGGATTTGTGCAGTTTCGAACTGTTTGTGCAGAGTTGAAATTATGCAGGGAATGTTGCACTGGTGTATCTAGGAGTCTTGAAGTGGGAATGCTGATGGGGGAGCGAAGGTGAAGTGGGGGCCTCGTTGATCAGTTAATAGGGCCTTAACTTGCAAAATAAGATGATTTTAGGTGTTTTTTAACAACTTGACCACAATTTTTGGGGGGCCCTGGGGGCGCGAATAATTTTTGGAGGGACGTGCGCCTATTCAATTTATAGCATTGCTTAAGGGCTCATTCCAAACCTAAACTCAGTCTAACATGGTTTACATTAGGCTATGCTACTCTAGGCATTTTTCAGAGGGGTTTTTGAGAATTGACAATAACAATTTCTTTTATTTTCTTTGCCCACAAATAGGCCTATAATCTATATAAAATAAATTATAAAGTGATTATATATAATATGAGCAATCTAAGGGTAAACTTCAGATGCATAATGCTTGTGCATGCAAAACCCCATTACAAAATCCTAATTAATACAATCGATTCCAAATAATTAAGGTATTCTGAATATTAATAAACCATATCATAATCATATCATAAATAGAAAATACAATAGAATAACAAGTAAAGTTTAATTTATTTGAGCTAGGCCTAGGCCTAGATATGCCTATATTTTAATGTTTTATTACAATTATAAGATTTATGTGGATTCCATTTATGTCACTGACCTAACACATACTGACCTGATTAATTTAAGGCTAGCCTACTAGGCCTAGTCATTGTTCTATAGATTATTCTTCTATTCCATGCGGCACGCCTAGGCCTTACTGTAGGTTACCAGAGAGGACTAGCGCTAGCTAGCACAGTGTATCCCATTGCACTGTGCTAGCTCCCTTCCCCGCTCCCTTCTTGAAATCTAAAATTAAAGTCATCTTGAAGGTATTAAACCAAAAACTATCTGCCTACCTTTTCAAGCAAGTTTGATATGTGATAAGATACACTCGCCATGCTGAATTAATTTTTAAACTACGTTCTTAAGAAACTTCAAAATGCCGTGGAATAGGGATTTATTTGCACCGAAATTTCATGGGAGTATACAGCCCGCAAGTCTGACCTCCTCATGTCAGAGCAGCTAACTTGCATCAAGTTCGATGGCTTCGTGTGTAATTGGTGTTGATAACGCGTTTTACCAATATATTGCGTTGTTATTAATACACCAATAATACAATTAACGAATATTCAATTAAAGAAATTATATACCATGTCCACATTCATAATATATTAGAAATAAAAATTCTAAAATACAGCCAGATTATGTAGATATAATGCTTGTAAATTTACAACAAACGCGTTACCAAACGAATATTCAGACATCGAAACGCTATAATTGCTCTAAAAAAGCATAACCACAAGTTAATCTCACATTCGATCACATGGTCCCTGGAGATTGGATAATAATATTAATTAAATTTTAATTATCATTAATATTAGTAAATTATGATGAAAAAAAATATGATGATTATTCTTGTCATGAGAGTGAGTATGGTGCTTTGGCTTACAAGGCGGATTAAGTATATTAATCTATATCATCATTATCATCATCATCACCATCATTCATTCATTTCATGTCATTCATTATCATTATCATTATTATTATTATTATTATAGAGAGTAAATCTGGAGCCTTGGCTTACAAGGCGGATTGTATTAATCTATACCATTATTATCATCATTATCATCATCATAATCATCAGCATCATCATTCATTCATTCATTATTATTATTATTATTATTATTATTATTATTATTATTATTATTATTATTATTATTATTATTATTATTATTACTATTATTATTATCATTATTATTATTATTATTATCATCATCATCATCATCATCATCATCATCATCATCATCATCATCATTATCATTATTATTATTATTATTATTATTATTATTATTATTATTATTATTATTATTATTATTAGACATTTATTAGGCCTCCTATACAAGGCCTATTATTATTGCTATGGTTATTAACAAATTATTAATTGTTTTATCATTTTTCGGAGCATAAAGGTACGGTGAATTGCCCAAGAATTTGTCTGTGGGGCATCATTCATATATGTAGGATGTGGTGGTAGGGGGTGAGAGAGAATTCACACTACCTCCACTACCAGGGGGCCGAGGTGCAAACATTTTTAGAATATGGACTGCAAGATGCCCGTTTATTTATTTATTTATTTACTTTTGGTGTAAAATGGGTACTTTATTTAAAATCACTTTTATTTAAAAAAAATTAATAGAAGGAAAACAAAACTCACTAGGATCACGTTATTGGGGGGGGGGGGGTGGAGAGCCCAAACAGATTAAAAAAAGAAGAGGAATGGAAAGCGAAGACAAGACAGACAAGGAGGGAGGACAACTATAAAAATAAACTCCCCCATATTTTTACTGTAAATGTGAACACAATACAACAATTGCCGTCAAAATGTGTATTGCTTGATCATAAGCGCTATATTGATCCCAAACCAGGTTAGTAGAAGAATGTAATTCAACTGGAGTAGAACATTAATGGAATGTGTTGAGAATGATGTTGCTTCCATTAGTTTTGTTTAGAGTCATTTAGCTGGCGTTTATTAGAGGAAAAAAAATCATCGCCCGGGGCGTTTATTCGAGGGAGGCGTTTATTATAAATAAGGCTCTGGAAGTGGGGTTTATTCAAGGGGCCGGGGCGTAATTCGAATAAGTGACGGTATATAAATAATAATCTGAACACTGCTGGAATAGAAACATGATGATGTTATACATCATGTAAAGCATATCTATGAAAAGTTCCTTTTCCAGTTGCGAGTGTCCGGTGGGATTCGAATTCGCTATCAAAGAAAATCTAAAGTGAAGTCTTCCTCCCAAAAGTTAAAATGAGAAAATAATCATATTAAACGTTGGTCTTTTCCGAAACTGAACTGCTCCCTTCACATTCGTCTGCGTGGCTCGGTTTATTAAGTAAATGATTTACTGCCCGTTTTGAAGGCTATAACGAATGTTTTAAAATTGTAACTACAATGATTGACTGTTTTGATGATATACATATTCTTTTTAACTGTTGAATTATGCTCGATGTATATTGTAATTCAACTAGGCCTACAGTTCTTTATTTATGTTGGTAGTTGTAAAAAAGAATGATTGATTGATTGATTGATTGATTGATTGATTGATTGATCGATTGTGTCATACCGTAAGATCAAATATACCTCCTATACAAAGTGGAGCTATGGTCAAGCTGAAATTAGCTATTCGAGCATTGTTATTTATCTATTTCTTTACTATATATCTAGATTTTATTAAAGTTCCATAAGCCTTCATTAGCTCTCATTTTACTGCAGTTTTCATATATTTTTATTATTTATTAGTACAATCATTGTTGAAATTGTTAATATTCACTATTTATTTAATTCGTTGCTTTTATTGATTACTATTATAAATATAATTTATGATAGTAAACAATTAAATTGTCCTAAAAAAAAAATAAAAACAATAATTAATAGACTAACGCCCATCATCAACAACAATATTTAAATAACCCCCTCTACGTCCAAATCTCACTGATGGATTTGATAAATCCGCCGCCATAGCTCAGCTTTAGCCCGTACTGAGCAGAAGCAGAGAAGCTTTATTTTGGTGATTATCATACCAAGCTGATCCAGATTGCATTGTTGTTTTTCTGATCTCCTTCTCCTCCACCTAGAATGTGAATCATTATATAATAATGAATCATTAAGGTTAGTTAAATTTTTATTATATTAATTTGTTGATTCATTTTGTATTTAAAAACCAAAAAGATAATCCCAATCGCTAGGCTGGAAGTTGGACAACTCGCACAGCTACTGCTTCGAGCTAATCCAGTGAATGGATTATCTTTGTTTGTGGCTGAGTCTTCGCATGATTTGTTCTTCCATGATGTCGCGTTTAAACATCACATTATTCTACAGTAGCAGACTCAAGAAATGTATAATAACATGCGCAGTCTATTTAAGTTTTTGACTATGTACAAAAAGATTAATTAGATTATATTAAATCCATTTTTCTACAGTGAAAATGTTTTGTCTTCACAAAGAGCATCAAAGTCGATGATCCATCCAAATCACCTTTGGGTTTGAATATAGGCCTAGTCCTTGCAATGCTAGGCCTAGGTAGAGAGGCCAGGTTAACAAAAAAAAAAATACTTTGCTTGTTGTATTAAGGCCAGTAATACAAGCAGTTGTAAAGCAACTTGGGTATGCTGTTGTTAAAGAGGTTTCCCTAAATTTTAAAATACAGTATTGCATCGGGCTGGTGATGTATACACAAATTTTAAAAACTTTGGTGCCATTACATATGAATATAATGTTTTATTATTATTAAATGTAGTTTCATAGTAGGCCTTACACCTAAAACACGGCCAAAGGTAAATAAAAAAATTCCAAACAATCTTGTGTCTGCAGATATATGGTAGTAGTACATTCTGATTTAAACAAAAGCATTTATTTATAAAATAATAATTTTATTGAATAATTTTTTTTAGCTTTTATAGCGTTTCACTGGAAATCTCAAAAGTGCTTTGAATAGTATTGCCTTTAGTAACAATCATATAAAATAATCAATGCAATTTCTTCTAATCCCTTAGGAATATTACTCCTCATCATCATGAATATTCAGTGAGGAAGGGTACATACATATTCAAAGTGCAACCAATAGAGTAGTTGCTTACAAGGGAGCTGTGTACACAGCTCTATATTTAAAAAGAAATTGTAACACTGCAGTAGCCTTGCTTCTGTGAAAAATTACTGAGTGGATAGTTGAATAAGTAATTGTTGTTTTGAATTTACAAACATACTTAAATAAATTTGTTTTGATTTCCTAATTATTTTTTGAGGCCAGTAAACTGACAAAGATTCAGGCTATGTTCAAACTTGGAGATAAGCCAGGCTTGAGTTAAGCCCGGCTCAACGCTAAGCACGGCTTAACTCTGGCAGACGTTCAGACTAGCGGGATTAGCCAGGCGCGAGAATTTTCCTAATAATGAACCGTAACCATCAAACGTGTTTCAAAACATTGTTCGTGAAACGTACGTTCGCTCACAGCGTAAGTGTAAGTAAATGAATGCTGATTGGTCACTTTGTTACCCGAATTCAATGCAAGACCCCCGCAACGATTAAAGCCCGGCTTAGAAAAGTTAAACACGGTGGCACGCCAGGCCTAGTTACTATAGGAACACAGCCTGGCTTGAGATAAGCCACCTAGTTCAGACTGACAGGTGGATAAACCCGGTAAGTTAAGCCGGGTTTATCCACCTAGTCTGAACTAGGCCTAAGTTTGATAATCATACAATAATTGTTAGACTTTCAAGAATCTTAATTAAATTGTTGTCAGACTAATGACCATTGTTTTAACTCCACCCTAAAAAACAAACTTATGGCCAATGGTTAGCCTACTGTAAGGTCAACACTTCTACCAAACCAATATGGCAAAGCATAACTAATGATTGAAAATAAATTAAAACTTCAGTCTGCTTTAATTTCTTTCTAATCAAAATATCACATTTAATTTTAAATGTTCCAATATTTGTTTTAAAAGATGTAACTTCTATTCTTAACAAATAATAATTTAATTAATATAAATTTTAAAAAGAATTTGTAAAATACATTACACTGTACAGTATATGCCAAAAACCAAAAGGTCCACTGATTATTCTCAGATAAGATAGTATAATACATAATCCAAGTATTGAAATGCACGCCATCGTGTCGGGATTCAATATTTGACATTAATTATGTCATCATCAGGAATGATGATGACACGATGGCGTGCATTTTGATACTTGGAGTATGTATTAATACTTTCGTATGCCAAATTATCTCAACTTTGGCCATATTTAGGTAGCGCCCTCACTGTGAATTATAATAACATTTATTATTACTGTAACACACTCTCAACTTTTTTAATTTTCTCATTCAGTATTATAATGGATTAGTGAAAATAAGAAGCAGTTTTCATTAGAGTTAGTGATCCATCAGATTGTCAGTGTACAAAATTATCACATTGCTTTGAGTTTGATTCTTGTAGACTTGCATGTTTCATTATTTTTTATTCAGATAGTTAATATATCCTGTGATGGCTACATTTTGTATTTCAAGTTAAATATTTTACAATAGTAATAAATAGTAGATGGATTTATATAGCGCAAATAAACGAGGTCTCTATGCGCTCAAGACTACAGTAGATGTTGCACTTTTCCATAACTTTTTCCTCCCCTGAGGGTCACTTCATGTCCTCTGCAGCCAGTAAACCGGCACACTTTTATATGTCCACGACAAGGGCCGAGTGAACCAGTTCACTGGGGTAACCCCCTACTTATCTTGAAAGATGTACTGGGTTCTTTAAAGTGCACATGAGCATTTGTGTACACTGGGCCAACGGTTTATATTCCTTATCGGAGAAGACTTGTTCCACCATCAGAACTATAGGAGTGAGCCGGCCGCGAATCCATGCTGATATTGTTGGCTACGATCACGGTGCCCCTGCCTTAACCACTCGGCTATTTGGCACACGAATAAAAACCATAATTTTGATGAGCTAAATAAATTAATATAGGTGATAAAACACTTCAAAACTAAAACATTATACTGTTACACAATAATTTAAATTCAAGAAATCAAACAACTTAAATAACATACAGTAATAAAATACAATCAATATTACACATGAAAGTTATTTTTAAAATATAAAGTTTAAGGTTGAGCTTAAAAATACCGTAAAACCTTGAATTGAAGCCCAGTGAGCTTAATCTCGAGATGAATCCCATCTCAAATTGAAGCCCGACTTTAGTTTGCAAAATTAGCCTCGAAAAAAACCCGACTCGAAAAGAGGCCCATGGGCCACCCCCACCCTTTTGGAAGGTAAAAATGAAGAAAAAAAGAAAGAAAAAATTGATTGTCCAAAACTCCTCAGAGGTTATTTTCGAACGTCTAGAACACAAAAATTTGCGGGGGCATGCCCCGAGACCCCCTAGGGTAGTATTATCTCGATTGACCCCACTTTCGTCCCTCTTTCGGCCCCTCTTTTCGACATCTCTGGATCCGCCCCTGAGTATGTACACTTCTTATAATATATCAGTTATGTTAAAACCTACTTGTCATAGAACTTAATAATGGCTTGAGTAACTGAACAAGATTTTTTATTTATTTAATTTATTTATTTGGATTATAAAGCACTTTTCCGAGAGACCTAAGTGCTCTACAAAAATTTATTTTTTTAGTGTACATACTGTAAAAATGTAGGCCTATATTGTAAAAATGATACTGTAAAAATTAAAATTATGTAAAAATTACAATGAACTTGATTAGAATAGCTATACAGGAGTAAGAAGTTTATTTATAAGCTTATTACATAACCCAGAAAAACAACAATGCAATTCAGCCACCACAAGATGCACACTGTAAACCTTGGAGATTAACCAGTATAAAGCTTGATAACTACCAGCCAAGATCTTAGCTGTGATTAATACTTTGATTATTGATTCAACTCTAATCTTAGAACAAATAATCCAACATGATCTCACATGAGTTCGCCTACAGTAGCTTGGATTCAGAGGTTGAATTTGCTAATAATTTTTGACGATTGAAATCAAAGTAGATGCTTAAAACTGGACGCACGCTGCACCTACAGTTGTAGGCTGATGTGATTCCACAGAGAACACAATAGGGAGCTTTCGATGTGCGGGACGACGCAACGCTAGAATGGAATCACTCATGCGTGACCGTCCGACAGGGCATCCAACGTTCTCTGCATACGTAGATTTGGCCAAATTTGCATCTCTGCTAGGATGCCCCTGACAATCAGCATCTGGACCGTATCATAGAGAACACAACGTGACAAGGCCAGCATAAGAGATCGCTTTCCATGATGATCTGCTCAGAGGCCATCGACAATCAGCAGACCACGTCAAATCATTAGGAAATTCACAGAGAGTGGATCTTGATACATCGGCCAACGCTGTGAATGCCTGGCTTTATACTGTATTAACCAGGGAGGCCATATATGTAGATGTATACTAATTGTGACCCCCATCTTCCTAGATCTGCTGTTGGCATTTCTGGAGTCTACATGCTAAAGCTACCCTGAACGAGGTCAATACTAATAGTTCAGCGTGTTTTCCTTTGTCTAAACCTCTTAGAAAATGTTTAAAACCTTTTTTAATTTTTAAAGGGAGAATTTGGTTTATCGTATTTCAAGGTTGCTGGTAGAGCACTGGGGTCTAGAGTTGTAATTAGATTTATAACCTACCGACAGATACTGATCTGTTTATTTTAAGTTACCCGACACCTAATGATCATGCACCAATTTAGCAGAAGAGCTCACACACACAGCTTGATACCATAACCATCCAGAATGCAGCTACCATTTGTAGTCAAAGCATGTTGTAGCAAATGCCCACCGTTATATGAATGAGATTTAATAACATTTATTGATTCCAATCCAGGGTTCTGATGATCGTTGCAGTTATCTTTGCAATTAACCTATGTACTCCATCAGCTACAGCATAATATTCATATTATAAATTCTTATTTTAGTATATGTCTTGCTTTAACACACAGTGTAGTTTACTGGCCTTATGGGAAAACATACTGTTTCCAATGAATAAGTTATTCTAGGAAGCTCAAGCTATCTATATTAATACTGACACTAACAAGTACTTAAATTCAATAAGGCCATTAACAAAACTGTCTGAATGAGAAATACTTTCACAAAATCAAGGTCTGTCTGTCAGGAATATTTTAAATATTTAATTTTAGGTCAGGGGTTCTGAACTACTGTATTTAACAGGGGCCAAGTTTGTATGAATCAAATTGAAGGTCCAAAAATCATGCAAAGCTACATCAGGTATAGAGTACAGTAGGTGTGGCCACTCCCAAATAAAAAATATAATAATGTAGTGGTAATGTTGGATAATAGGCCAAGTGACTTAAGTATAATTTTTTTTGGCTTAAATTCTAAACAGGCCGGATAACATGCACTTGCGGGGCGGAAATGGCTCACATATTGTCAGTTGAAAACCCCTACTTTAGGTCTAGGCCGAATATTTGGTTCATGGCAAGCCGTCACTCCTCAGAACATGGATTTTGGCTGGTAAAATGACAACTACCAGGCTAATATCTAATTAAGTATCAAATTAAATTAAACCTTGAAAAGTCTTAGTTTCATACATCATATATATATTTCAGGCTCTTCGTTGGCGAGAAAAATATTTTGCAAAAAAAGGAAATCCTAGAATTTAACAAAATTGCAGTCACACATCTTTACATTGAACCATGACATTGTTTGTGACATAACATAACATAACATAACTTTATTGAACATACACTTTTAAATCAGTGGCACACGTTCTTAAGAGACGGTGCGTTCACACATTTACAATACAAAATGAAAAATATACAAAAATAAAGGAAATCAAAACAGCATATAAAACTTGATTTAAAAAAAAAGAAAGACGATTAAGAAAATAATTATAAAGATAAGGTAATTTAAGTATTAAATGTGACATGACCATGACTGTAGCTGATCTGAATTGGTTTTTGTTGATTAATTTATTATTCCTGATAACAAATTAAGCTTTTGTGTCAACTAACCACATACCCAATAACATATAACACTGGACAATTACAGTTTATTTTCATCTAGTACTCCAATACTTTCCTATGTGTACAGTATAAATATTTCCATGCAGATTTTACTTGTACAAATGCTAGGCCTACAGTATATCTTTGTCAAAGTGTATTATGTTTGACGCGAGGCAAACAAGTAAAATATATGAGGAAAAGACAATACCCTTTTAATCTATTCACAAGAGTACCTGAATAGAGGCAATGAAAACATGCACAACAGTACAATCAATTTCTATAATTGTATTACTGTATGCCAATCAACAGGAAATGAATTTACAAAACTCATTACACTGTACCGTACCATTGGATCTTCAATGCAAAATTATTAGTAATTTAGTTATTTACTAAGTGTATGTCAAAACGAAATAGAAAAGCAGGGTTCTCAACTACATGTACTGTATGATGTAGCCTGGCAGCCTGTGGGCCATTTCTGGTCTATGGATGCTAAGCTACCTGGTCTGCTAGAACAAGCCTAAAATAAGAATAAATAATCAGGGGCGGATCCAGAGATGTCCAAAAGGAGGCCGAAAGTTGGGCCGATCGAGACAACGCTATCCTAAGAGGTCCAGGGGCATGCCTTAGCGGAATTTTTGTGTTCTAGACGCCCGAAAAAAACATTTGAGGCATTTTGGGCTATCATTTTTTTCATTTTCTTTCTTTTTTAAACCTTCCAAAACTTGGGGGGGGGGGGTGGCCCAGCCCTAAACCATTATTATTGCATCATTTCACACTAAGGCTTACTTATTAGACCCTAGGTCATTGGACCTTTAAATTGGTTCCATCTATAATCTTGGCTTCTGTTGAAATGTAGGTGAAAACCTGTGCCTTACTGTACTGTCGGTTGCTGTAAGTAAGCATGGAATAAAGGGGTCGTCCAAAAACTATTTTAACGTGAGTACCGCGTTATCAGCTGTTTTGTCGCTGATTTTCACTAACGCTGCATATGGGCGTGGCCTAATATTCACCGTTCACGAGCTGACGAAATAACTAATGAATATGCATGATAGCTAACTCATTCTGTTTACCGCGGCACTCGCGGTACGTCGTCCACGGGGTAGAAGTTTGTTGTTTACGAAGAATTCTGTATGAGACAAATTCTGTACGAACCTACGAAAGATTGATGGAGCACGTCGGTAGTCGCGTTATGCTTTGGGTAGACTGTGCAGACAGCTAATAAATATTCATGACCTACCGCGGTAGCAATCTTATGCTTCACTGATCTGCTTCATTAACGAACTCACGGTAGATGTGATAGTGAAAAGGGCGATAACGCGGAAATTGCGTTAAAATAGTTTTTGCGCGACCCCTAAGTCAGTGTTGTACCGTACTGTATGTTGGTGTGGGAATTTATTACTGTATTACAATTTTTAACAGTACACAAACCCTTGGCAAATTACAGTACTTGTATTTAATGCTCACCCAGGTTTTCATATTGTGATATCTTACTGTAGGTTTAGCTCTACATAATAGCTGCATGAAGCAAAAATATGTAGGAATATTTAGTAGTTGATTTCCACAAAGAATGTAAAAATGCAATAAGACCACTTGCACAGACCTGTACATAGGAAGATCAACCTACTGTAGTACTACTGCCCTCACAAGAAACCATGTCATTTGAGAAGGGACTACCTTGTGAATAATTCCATGCATGTACTGTTCCTACAAACATTATAAATGAGGTTGTCTTGGCTACTATCCAAGGAATTGTGTGATGCACTATAAGTATTTCCTACTGTACATACCCTCATATCAAGAATTTATTGACCATAGTTTAACTGTTGTTTGTGGGTGTTTTTTTTTTGTAATTTCTATTGCAATATGTTGTTTATACTTAAGAATTGATATTTGATTATTGATTTATCTTCATCTTTTCTTCATCTATCTGTCAAGTTCCATGTATTATGCAACATAGTTTGCAATTACAGCAGTTTTTCAAAGTCAGGCTCCGGAGGAAAATTTGTTGATATTGTTGTACACAAAAAGGGTGTTTGTGACGAAAATCTTGGGAACAGTTTAATGAGATACAGATTTTTGGAATATTTAAAAACTTGTGGAAAAGGTGAAAATGATGCTGGGTACGCCCTTTTCCCCTAGATTTGAAATATTAAAAAATCTGTATCTCATTAACCGTTCCAGAGTTTTTCGTCAAACACCATTTTTGTGTCTTTGAAAAAATCAGTTGTACAACATAAAGTATCATCAAATTTTTTCCTCCGCAGCCTGGCTTTCAATACTTAGTACTATGAAGTGTACTAAGTATTATAAAACTACAGGTACTTAGAATTAATTTTAAGGTGTCTTTAGTCAGAACTAGAATATTTCAGGCAAAGTGATCCACTTTGCTATATGAGTGAAATTTATGTTACAATCATATTCTTATTTCTTATATAGAACTTGAAAGTTAAAGATAATCACACCACGTGGTACTAGAGAAATTGCATTGAAATTACAAGTCTGTGTAATTCACTATGGTAAGTACGGTAGTTGTTGTTTTTTGTTCTTGTTTATGTTGTAATCATTATTTTGTTACATCACATTTTTGTAATTTTCCTTTTTTAGCTCCCAATATTTAACTATCCTCCATGAGACAAGGCAGGGTACAAACAATATATCTAGGATTAAAGAGTGCAGAACATTCATCCCTCTATTCTTAACAAGGGTTTAGCCAGAAAAACGAAATAGAAGCCAGTGGGCGATGGGCGGGCCACGACTATCTTTGGGAATCCCCACTGAATATTGGTACGAAAACAACGTACATTCAATCAATAAATGTTGCTTTTATCAAATGTAAATATGATTTAGCTTTAGTTTAAATGTAACATTCGATAGATTTGAAGAACATAAAGAATTTGCTAAAGGTAGACGAGGCCCAATTAGGCTAGGCCGAGCTGATTAGGCCAAGCCGTCCAAGTCGTCTCGGTAAAAGTGGCCGTCCTAAATAATTGTAGGCCGTCCTAAATAATTGTAGGCCGTCCAAAAGACAGCCAGACGGCTCGCTGGCTAAGCCTATGATTCTTAAAAATAAACTGCATGTACAGTTAAGGTTTTAGGTAGGATTATGCCATATTGACATTGACTATTGTTATCAATCAGTTAATCAAGCAAATTTTAATAATCAACAGATATTTGTAGATCGCACATTATCCATGGTAGAGTACAATGTTCAGTGGCACAGTAATACTGAGATATTTCATATCTATATCAATAAATTAAAAGCAAACTCAAGCTACGGTTTTCTTTAAATGAGCTACAATGTAGATCACTATGAATGGCCTGTCCCCATTCTGCCCAATCACCATCACTGTACCAGATAAAATACTATTAAAATACATTACAATATAGTGTAATCCTCACTCATTTGCCAGACAAATTAATGCATATTTTTTTTTTACAAGTTTTATTATTCAATGAGTATATTGTATGGTATTAATAATTTCTAATCTATTGCAAAATATTGATGCTATGCTTATGATTATGAAAAAACCTACTTGTGGGACATAATATTGTTGATGTATAATACCTAGGTTACAAATTACAGGTACATACTGTAAAGTTATCTGGTAGGACAAATTTAGCAATTGCAATGATAAATGCCATCATCAGAATTTATTTCTGCAGTGTATCAGTGATCATTAATTTTCTTGGTTATAACCATTTGCGAAATGAGATTAGTGTGAATATCATATTTCATCACACAACCATGGAGCCCATATTTCACTCTCCCATGTAAATGTAAATATTTAAAAAAAATTATATTGTACATCCATCTTTCCAAAATGCTGACTTTTACAAAAGTATTTTTATTTTTAAAATATCCATTTTTTTTTTTTAAAGGGAATTTCATTGGAAAATTTATGTGTACTGCGAATAGAGTACTACATTGTTACATCACGATACCACGTGATACTACTCAGTTGGTATCGGTGATACAAAATGCGTTCAACCGACGCCATTTTCTCCACTAAAAAAACCATTGATCCCAATTTCTAACGTAATTATTAAGAAGTTGTATCCTAATTTTTCTTTGTAAATGTTAATCAATGATTAAATGTGTGTTCGATAACCAACGTAATACAAGCTTTTTGTGTTTTTACTACATTTCGATGGTAAATTATTAGGTTTTAAATTTGCCTATTCCAGAAAGCCTATTCTAAACCAAGATTATGAAGTCATTCAGGCGTAATGAACGGTAACCAACGTTCAGAGGGCGCCACCTGGTGTTGTGACGACACAACTGTTGTACTGTACCCTATAGTCAGTGTATTAATAGACTTGTGTGAGATTCTAAATTTTGTTATACAGTACAAAGCTACTGTACTGTAAAACTTCACAAAGGAAATCAATTCCAACAGTTGTCCCTAGAATTTGGTCATAGGGTCTTCATTAATTTTTCCTTTACTTCGTTGACTTTAAATATTTATAATCATTTTTAAGCAATTTCCGGACTATGTATGTCTAACTACAGTAGTACTACAATTTGTAGAACGGCAAATTGTTTTATTGCCTATTAATTAGACGTTTAAATATTGTGGTGTTTGTGTTTCGGTCATCCGTTTTAAAAATTCTGTAAAAAAAATGTGTGTAAATCATTAAACACTTATTTTTTATACCTTCTTGCTGTGACTTGCTGAATTACTATAATGTTATTCCATTTAAATGTGTGATTTAAATTTGCTTTTTTTTTTTTTTTTTTTTTTGAGAATTTGTCCCTCTTGATTTTGGAGGTAGCAGTACTGTATCTTTAAACTACCATATAACGATACGTTCATTTTCAAATTTATGTGAAGCTATCCTTGAAATAATTGTCTGAAGATGTTTTAATTTGGAGTTTTTTAGATTGAGGAGGATGACATTAAGTTGATTGGATAGAATTAGATTGTAGCTTCAATGAGTCTTGTAAATATATTACTAGATTCCAGGGCTCTCACTTGTCCATATTTTATTATGTGTGAGGGAAATTGGTTAATTTTACTCTGTTATTAGGTAAGTTGAACTAGCTGTTAAGTGTGAATGATTGAAAATAAATGGTAATAATTTGAGAGTAACACAAAGTTTGCGCAAAAACATTTCATGAGAAAAATGCATCGATACAGGAACAAAGCTTTGGTGGCACATACCTGTACACTGAGTAATCTCATTATTATTATCAGTTTATCTAAGATTACCTAATGAGTAGGCATCGCCTGATTATTTCACTTTGAATATTCTTTCAAAGAAATCATATTTCTGCTTAAACTGTTTTCTATGGAAGGCAATCGCCACCAAAAATACAAAAGTGAAACGAACAGCAAACATTCACAAACAACATATTTACCCAAACGAACAACATACTTTCTCAAACAAACGACATATGTCCCCAAACAAACAACATACTTTAAAAAACGATCATGTTCATGGCGATTGCCTTCCATAGTTTTTTTTTTTAATGGGTCAGGTTGAGACAAGTTGACGCTTCTAGACCTGATCCAAACCATAATTTCAATAATTATTATTTTGTTCATAACAAATTTGTTTGACTTTAATTTTCATATTTCTCATTCTTATGCTTTATACTATTTTCATTGGCAAATTTATTATGTTTATGATTACTGTAATTATGTTATTATGGTGAAATAAATGTTGAAGAAGTAGTTTCTTGCATTTGTGTCTTCGTGTTTTGGTTCTCAAGACATTGTACTTTTGAGTCACAGTATAATTTGTCCAGTACTAGAACCATCAAAATTTGTTGTACCATAGATCAGGTTCTTTTGTTTATGTATTACATCTTCCATCTTCACCATTTAGAGTGGTTCTGTGTCAGCTTCATGAAACGAATACATCTTCATCAGTTTTTTAAAGCATGTTTTTGAATGACTTGTTACTATAGGGGTATCTTCACCACTAATAATGTATTTCTATCAAGTTTTTCTTTGTATTAAATGTAGCTGATGAATATTTATGAATTAGTCTCAGTCAGATGTGTATAAGAGACAGGTATGGTATTAATAATTTCTAATCTATTGCAAAATATTGATGCTATGCTTATGATTATGAAAAAACCTACTTGTGGGACATAATATTGTTGATGTATAATACCTAGGTTACAAATTACAGGTACATACTGTAAAGTTATCTGGTCACATATATGCTTATGATTTGAATAATAAATTTTCCTTTATTTTGTTATGTACTTTTTGAGAAATAAAAAAAAATATTACTTTTTTGGTAACTTCGGGACATTTTATATGGTAGTTCATTGTCAAGTCGCTGTAGCGGAACGAAGTACGCAAAATAAAATAAATTCATGAATATACCACATATAATGTTAATAATTACTAATCCAATCAGTTATGTTGGTAATATATGTTAAAGAGCATAAATTAAACACTCTAAAAGTTGGCCTATTTTATTCATTTTTTTTGGAAAAAAATAATATTAATTGTATTTCTTATATAAAATTTAAGTGAGTATAAAAACTTGAAAACTAAGACCATTTCATGAAAGTTCAGAATTTCTTCTTTAATTTGATACCAAATTTGGTAGGATACCACTATTTTAAAAATTTAGGTGCCATGTCCTGTTTTGCATGGAATTGCCCCTTTACAATTTGAGGCACAAAATATGTTTCAATCAATGAGCTATATATAAAGCCACAGTAATTCCTATTTTTAAGCTCAATAAATCCCAAAATTACATGAAATTATAAAGTATAATTATGAAAATGCATTATTGTACTGTAAAATAGTTTTTTTTTCTTATATTTAACTAAAAATGTTCACAAAGTGTTTGGGCCTACAGTAACTGTCTACGACAGCACTAATGTATTTTATTGTTTTAAATGTATTTTTTCCTTCATGCACAAATACTGAAGCAAGCCTCACAGGGGAGGTACCAAGTGTACCTGGTGGAGAAAACTGCTCTATTCATATTTATACAGTATTCAAAGTTTCTTTATCTGGGCATGGAAGGATTATCTGATCTGGACAATTGGTATTATTAATACCTAGTTCTGTTGTACTCTTTTTTGTTGTGCTACAGCATTATATTTTGCTATTCTGTTTAATTTATTTATAAAAAAGTCCTGAATAAACATTGTCAGAGCATGTTCAGAGAAAGTAAGAAGTCCTTTTCAACTCTTTTGTCAATACAGAGCTGGTATCACTCTTCTGTTGATATTCAACAACATGTTTTGTCTTAATCAATATTGGATTCTGAATAGTTAGTATTGCTTTGTTTCAGTTGTGTTGACGATGTAATATCTCTGCTAGGTATAATATCTTCTACAGTATGATCAAGCGAAATGTTTGTTTTTATTTTGCTGAAATGTAGGCCACTACGTGGCCCTTGGTGTTGTGTGTAGCCACCACAAGATATGGGATTAAGTATGCAAAGCCGAGGGCAACCCTAGATGTGTAGTAGACATTGATTGATAATGCTTACATTCCGTGTATACAGTACTTCATTACAGCCCGAGACGTCTAAATCATATTTCTTAATCAACTGCAATACCTTTAACCATTTCTAATACGTGTGCCACGACTACATTTTGATAACTGTATTTAATGAGGGGGGGATCCTTATGATGAAACCTTCCAGGTGATCTACTATAACTTGTGTAGTGTGCAACAATCAAAAATGATGTCATACTGTATGCTACATATACGATGTAAAACTAGTTCATATTTCAATCGCTACTGGCGCTTAATAAAGTTTGAAGGTTATGGCATTTGCCTTGCTTGAGTATGGTCCCGGGCTTGGCTTGCAGTGGAGATTATTACAGTACTGTGTAACTACCTGTTTATACTTGCAACGATAACGATAAAAAGCCAAAAAGCAATTGTTTAAGAGAATAAAAGAAATAAGAGTAGTTTGCACACTAGCACGATTCAATAACAATTTATCGTGTATACGATAAAAAAATATTTTCACAAATCAAATCAAATGACGTCATAACAATGGGAAAACGATAAAATCCTAGTAGTAAAGACAATGTTATTGTTTTCCTATGATTATGACATCATTTGATTTGATTTGTGAAAAATATCTGTTTATTGTATACACGGTAAATAGCTATCAAATCGTGTTAGTGTGAAAACTTATTTCTTTTATTTTCTATATGAACAATTGCTTTTTAGCTTTTTATCGTTATTGTTATCATTGCAAATATAAACAGGCCTTAACACTAATACTATTTTTGAAAAAAGAAGGTACCACACTAATGAATCCTTTATTACATTGTAAAAAAATTATTATTGCAATTTTTAAATCTTATTTTTGACAGAATCTGTAATTAGATTATACAGTGCCTATATTTTGTGTTTGGCACACAACCCATGGTTTTTCTTGGCACCTCTCTGGTCACATCTTTATGATTTGTATATTTTGCCCAATTTTATAGAATACAACAGTTACCTGTATAAGAAGTTTAGTACAGTGTGTATTTTTGTTAAATGGTGTTCAAACAAGAATGCATTGTCAGCATTGCAGTTTAAGTAAAGCCCTTCCAATTTACAAGAGTAATTATCAGTAATTTAAGTCAAATGTTAACTTGATTCAAACACTTTAGACACTAATTGGATATTTATTTGCACACAAGCTGCCGTGTTCATGTAAATGTTAATTTGATTGCTAACTATAGTTCATGCTTTAAAAGAAATTAATTCGTACATTACAGGAAGATTGTGAATCCATTAGTGCCCCGTTGGTATCTCTGTCAAGCAGTAGCAAAAATGATACAGTACCGTGTCAGAGACCGCCATCTTCAGCTCGTAAAAGGAAACAAATGGTCCCAAAACCTATAAGAGAAGCAACTGAGAATGATGAAGATGATGGTAACGATGAAGGTGGTGACACACAAGCGAGTAGTAGTGAATGGAATCTACCTCCCAAGAAACCAGGTGAACTTTATATTCATTATTATTGATGTATTTATTTAACAGTGAATTTGTTTTACTTCATCTAAAATATGTAAATTTGAAATTCCAAATATCTAAAATCTATTAATTTCTGAATTTAATATCCAACGTTAATATCTAGAAATAAAGCCTTGAGAATAAATTTCAATATACTGTAGATGATGATGACAATAATTTGTATGCAGATTGTGCAAGGATTGCATACTGCAACATGAATTAAAATGTTTATTTTGTATGCATTCATGTATGTCAGATATAAATGAAATGGATTGTGAGAGCATTTGAGTCAGCCCTTGGGAGATTAGTTAGCCATTAATGGATCAGGATTTGTGTTTGATTGAGAGCAGAGCAGGAAGGCCACATCACACTCTCTTTAATACACTAATCCCGCATTCGCTGCAGCCCTGCCTGTGGATCAGCTCCCTTTGCCAAAAGCCCAGCTAGACACGTACAGCTTCTCAAAGCAAGATGTCTGATTTGTCCGTGAGATAATCTAGCGGGGGATTATCGGGAAAGGGCACCATTATCAGCTTACTGGATTACAGATGGATTAGTGACTCAGAAAGAAGTTTGATAGAATTATGGTTTTAATACAATCCATTTGCGTTGAAATCTCATTTAGTTGATGGGCTTTTGCCAAGGACTTTAGTTTTCCATATTTATTGCATGAGATATAATGTTTTCATTTGTGAACACTTATCGCATGGCTTACGCTTCGGCCATATTGTGATGTGCAGTGGCAACATATCTCAGCCTGCCTACATTTGAGCGATTTCAACTGCGTAAAGTAAACAGTTACATTAGGTAGGAGAATAATACTGTAGTACGCAACATTCTGCCAATGTTTGTGTAGTATTATGGTATGTACATTTTAATGAAGAGTTATTATTTTATAAAAAAAAAATATATAATTTGTATACTTTGTTGTGTATTAATGTATTCATAAAGTGTTTGTTTTTTAGTGATAAATATTTTTATTGAGGTGTATTATTACTATATCTGTTTTCTATGAATTTAATATGCATTGGTAGCTGTTTTGGATGTGTATGATTATTATGTTGGGGGAGAAGTGGTTAATATTATCTTACTGTTATGTACAGTACAGTAGAATGTAATGCAAATGTTTGATATGTATTTGTATATACATGTACAGTATATTCATAATTCTCATAAAAATATATTATATTTCAGTGCTTTTGGACAAACATCCCTGTTACTCATGTACAGGTATAAATATCATAAATCATAAATATTGAAATGACGTATCTCAGAATTACACTCACATGAAAAAATTGAGTTATTTTCGCTTAGAATTATGCTCATGTGATAAAATTGAGTTATTTTCACTTAGAATCATGCTCGTGTGATAAAATTGAGTTATTTTCACTAAAATCGATTTATTTTACCCATGGTTGTTAAGTCATCTTTCTCCCTCTACCTTTGCTGTTTTCCACTTGTTTTCTCCTCTGTAAAAGCTGAGTTGAAACATTGGGTCATTTAGTAACTGTTTGATAAACTTGAGTCAAAATTTTATTTTCTTTACTGTTAAATAGTTGGTAAAATGTTGCCATTACATTGCATCGTGGAACAGCGTCAGTACGAACAGCTTCCTCAACAGAAAGAAGATTATGCAATTGTATCATCAGAACTAGTTCTCAAAGAGCTCTTAAATTGTGTGCTGTGCAAGCTAGGATTCAGGTACCTTGACAAGTATTACATTGAAGGTAGGGTTTAAAGCAACTTTTGTTACCTTAATATTTACATTCAAGTATTCAGTAAATTTTTAGTTAGTGTGTACAGTATGAATCTAAATATCAGATGCATTTATGTTTGTGATGTGACACAAATTAAAGGATGAATGTTGAGCAGGGGTGTATCTCTGGTTTTTTCTGGGTGGGTCGTGATCATAATTTTGTGGACTTTTTCAGTGGGAGACAGGAAAATCGATTACAGCGCCACCAGCTTGAAGCGGATGGGAGGCTCAGTTTCAGAATTGCTGGAATTGAGATGGATAACGACACGCAATTGGCAAGGTCTTTGGACTCGTTGCTGGTACTTCATCAATGCTTTTTCATTTATGTCATTGTGAAAAAGCCCTAGAAAAAAATGTCTTTGGAAAAAATGTGGACCTTCAAAAATTTTTAGGGGGTCGTAGGACATTCCCGACCCCCCCCCCCCCCCCCCCCCCCCCCCCCCCCCCCCGCATACACCCATGCTGAGGCGCAATTTTTGTGAGCCAAATAAGGCTTGTTAACAAATTAGTTTTAGTTTTTTTATGGTTGTCATGCGAGTGTGTAAGGTCTAAAAGTAGTGCAGGGTGCCCTGAGGTGCCTGCACAAGATTCCATATAATGAGTGTGATGTAAGATTTCATTAATCAGATTGATAAATGCTTTATAATACTGTATATTTAGTATAGTATAGATTTCAAGGCGGTGAGTAGTATTGATAAAAATAAATAAATAAATATATTATTGTGGTGAGTGCGCTAATTGGCCAGATTTTTTTTATTTGAAATTTTTGGTGGGGGGAGGGGGCAGAGTTACCTGAAAAAGTTTGTTACTTATTCCTTTTACAACCTTCTTACATACCTGTAGGTGAGAGATTTATGTCTGTGGTCCCTTGAAATTAAAATATTTATATTAAATTAAATATTCATAATTTTCTGAAGTTTCCATTTTATATAATTAGCAAGATTCATAATTTTGTGAAATTTCCATTTTACTGTTGCGGCAAGTGCATTAATTGGCCAAAGAGTTTTTTTTTAACTTGAAATCTTTGGTGGTTGGGGGAATGCAGAGTTACGAGGTACTGTATAAAATCTTGCCTGAAAAAATTTGTTACTAATTTCTTTTTTAAAACTCTAACTTAGGTGAGAGGTTTATGTCCGTGGTTGAAACACAATCATCAAGATACATACAAAACAATTGCACATAGCTATTTTAATGTGCCCAGATTGAGATGTAAATTAACTTATAATGAGTGCTTATTGTGAAAATGAAAACAGCTGTGTTTATTGACATTAAATAAATGTTTAACTCATATGGCTTGGTTATCAGTAAACTGTTTCCTCAATAAAGTGCAAAATTGTTACAGGTATCTAATATATAATAAAGGTCATTGCAATAAAATAATGATCCATCAGACGCCAATCCGTGTAAAGAATTTATTTGATCTCTGAATGTTTTTTTAGCCCTTAAAAGTCAATATTAATAATATTGTACTGAATATTTTGGAAAGTAAAGCGCGTGTTAATTTTTAATTTCATCTACATCTTTGTTGACAGTTTTTCAAATGCATTTTGATGAGTTATAAAACATTATTGTGTGCATTTCTACATGGAGTTTACTTGCCATGTGTTACATGTAATTTAGGTCCGGGGTCATACCTGGAATGTACTGTTTACCTTATCTGAATGTATTGGATTGTAGATATGTGAAATTTTAATTTAAAAATCCATTGATCAATAAATAGATCTTATAACATTTGCCTCTGTTCTGTATTGTAATTCATATTATGTATTTGGCCAGGGGGTTTAGAGGATACCCACATCTTGTGTTGGGCTCTCGGCCTACGGTGTCCCCTTGGCACCCCTCTGGCCATTTCCTACAGTAATTTCTTGAGTTTTGAGCTGAATATGTATCATTTACTTTATTTGTAATAAGGAATAAAAAAAGCAGAATTGAACAGAATTTGTCCCATTTAATGTATATTAGGTCACTTCATGAAATTGTTGAGATTTTAAAAGAAATTGTTCATAGTTTTAAGATAATAAATGTTAAAATGTTGTTATACCGTAGTATCAGTCATTTCCATTGTGAAATTTGACCTTTGTATAGCATTTCAAATCAACCTATTTCTCATTGTTTTCAAAAAGAAATACATTTTTGTGACAGATGTATAGTATAAAACAATTTTGGTATTAAGCCCTTCCAAGGCAAAATGATTCATATTCTGAGGTTTTGCAATGGAACTCCTCTTTCACAAAGTAAACCCTTATTTAGTGTCCTGTTCAAAGTTTGATTTAAATGGGAATAAGTTCAGGTGTCTGAAACATTTTTTTTTTTTTTTATCTCTGTTGATAATTATGTTATGTATTAACGTTTGCAGCATTAATGCTTATCACATACATAAGATTAAAGGTAGATATTTGTGTATTTCTCAGGTCATTTACAAGTGCGTAATTGGAAAGCTTTGCCATTTAGTGCCATCTGTGAGAATGAAGACACAACTGTAGGGCACCTTTTTGGTGAAATTATTTCTCATGTGTCACTAATCATCAAGCTCAAGAAAAGGTAGATAAACCTCATAATTTTATGTTATTAGTTTTTGTTTCATCCATTTAATGAATCCAGTTTAAATTCTTTCAGAATCTCATTATCTTGGTCGCAGGCACAAAAACAGTTTCCCCATTACCTGCATATAAGTGTTAGTTTAGTGCCATCTTTCTTTCTTTTCCATCTAGTTGTGACATAAACCTAGTTTCCATAACATTGCTAAATGCTATCGCAAAGAGTTTTTGGTAATGCCAATCGGTCACTTGAATCTTTCAACCTTCCCAACTACATCAAACACAGTGGTGCAGTCTAACAATTGCAGTGAAAACACTTTAGCCACAGTGTATAAATTCATACATAAATTATTAGACCAAAATATGGTACATACATCATCAACATTTAGAAATTGTTGTATTTGTTTTGTCAGAATGGAGTCGACATCATGGCTACCGAATCAAATGTTAAACACTATGAGTCCTCTTAGGCAAGATGGTCATCAAGAAGGCAATAGAGGTACCGGTAGCACATTGCATGACATTGCCACCAAGATCAGGCAGTTGATTGACAAGAGAGGTCCTTCTATGTTGGTCTGCCATGGATGTCCCTTTTCACAGGTCTTTATACTTTGTACAATTTATTTGTTTTCTTTTACTTGATTTATGAAATTTTTAGATAATTTAAAAAAAAATGAAAATACACTACCATTTACCTTCGCAATTTGAAATACATTAAAATGTCTACTGTACCCAAAAGCCTATGTATGTAAACCGAGTGAAGAGATTCTAGGTGTATTGATATACATAACAAATTAGGGAATATTCAGTTGGAATGATAACATAAACAAAGATTGATAACAAAGCTTAGGAATGATAACATAGATTTACTCATTTGTTACTGTTATGCCTTCTATGCACAACACATAAATTCAGCCCAAACTGTCATAAATGTCAGAAGATTATGAAAACTTGGTCTTTGCAACACTGTAACTCTACAGTACACGTCAATGCGTCCTAGATCTTAAGCTCCTGATTATCACATTATTTTGCTTTGAACAAAACTGCTGTTTGCCCACATATAGTCATGATGTGATGCCATGACCATATTTAGGCATGTCATATGTTTTTGTCGAATAATATTTGATAGTGTGGACAGGGCTTTACAAACATTGTATTGTACGATCAAACAAGTCAAAGTCAGAACATGCTCTAGTTATCAAAAAATGTATTTACACTTAGGTCTTTTGGCAAACTCATGATAATGTATGCATTGCCAATAAAGGAGTGCATTTATCGATGCTGGTTGAAAAATATACAATGGTGCTCGAAATATGACAGAAAGTGAAAAATTTGCAACATGAATTAATAATAATAATACTAATAATATTTTCATTGCATTATCTATTTTGTTGGCTAATCTGATGAAGCAAACTGTCAGAATGATGAATGAAAATAAAATATAAATGATCTTTTTTAATTTCAGAACATCATCAATCAAATTCTGACTGGGAAATGTAGCAAGTTAATATCATCAGAGAAAGTGACTGCATTTTACTTGTGGTATAATATCTACAGTCGTTTAGCAGACAACACTTTAGTTTCTGCTGGCAAGCTGGACAGCAGTAGTGCAACAAAATTTATGCCTCGTAGAGTCAGAGGTCAAAGAACGCTATTTGATCCTAGGTACGAAATACCTCTACTTTTTAAGTGGTACCGACAGAATCCACGACCAAGTCGTCTTGAGTTGGAGGCTTACTTATCACAGTTAAACTCATCAGAGAAACGAAGAAATGGTCACCCACTTCAATACTCATCCCTCGCAATATGGTTTAAAAATGCAAGAGCTAAGTATCGCGATTTCAATAAGATTCCATCAATATACAGGTTTGAACGCAATGATGAACCTTCGTTGCCGCTGAATTATAGTCAGAAAAATTATTCTCATAGACGTATGATAGAGCTGCAGGACATGGCTTCACAGTCTGAGGGAAATTCGAGGCAGGACCCAACAGCTCAAGCTTTGGAAACTCTGTCAAACGTGGCCACAAAAGTTGCCAGCAGTCTAGCTATGAGTACCGTGTGCAGCAGAGTAAACTCTCGGAGTTCTGAATCACTAGCTTGCAGTCAGCTCAGTGAGAGATACAACACTGTATTGCAACGTCACAGACAAATAAATGATGTCTCTGAATCACAACCTAACAGAACAAAAACTACCTTAACTGTACCGCAACCGTTAGTCCCTATATTAGTTGGAAGTAGACATCAACCATGGCAAACTATTGTTTCTCAGAATGCATCGAACGGTTCAACCGTTAATGCGCAACCCACCTCAAGCATCATCAGATCCACCACTCATCAGGCACCTGTAAGACCACCAGTGTTATTAAAGGGAAAGGTATCAGTCCCTTCACCAAGGAAAAGGTTCAATATTCATCCAACCCTCGAGGCTCCTCGGTTGGAATCATGGTTTACTGTGACACCAAAACCAGATCGGGAAATAATTCGAGTGTATGCCCAGCAATTAAACAGCACTGAGTTTAGGCGTTCACGTGATAAATACACCAGCAGAATTATATATGTTTGGTTTAAAAATCGAAGGGCAAAACAAAATCGTCTGCAACAACGACATACTAATAAAGAAGGCATTGGATTGCATTCCGTTAGTAACTCCGAAGAGTGCATGGACCAGGAGGCGTGTGAAGGGTCCGACATGGAAAGTAATTTGTCAGGGAATCTGTCCAACGATCAGTCAATCAACTATTCTCATGGTGATCATGTCAAATTAGAATCCTGGTTCCAGGACAACCCAGATCCGTCGCCAGAGGCACTTGAAGAATACACAAATGAACTTAATTCCGAAGGACCTTCTTCAAGAGGTGGTCAAAAAATGGACGTTGAAGCAGTCAGTCAGTGGTTTACCTCAAGGCGCGAGGCAGCAGTTTCTGTCATCAAAGAAGAACCAGACATGTATATGCAGGCCAGTGATGATGACAACAGGTAAATGCTTTTTCAAATCCACATCTTCATTACTAATTGCCTAAAAAATATTTATCCTAGAACAATGCAAATTTTCATTACAAGCTTTTCATAGACACAGTGCACTTCTTCAGAGAGCAGCTTAGCTCAGTCTGGTGGTAGCCACCACCAGATGGTGTGTGAACTGAACCACTGAGGTCAATGTAAAATACTGGTCTTTAGTTTAATTTCATCACTCCACTCCTGTTTGAGCTGTCAAATATATTCAAGCTCCTGCTGCTATGTGTTATATGGCCCATTGGCCTTGCTGTATCATACAGGGTTCTTAAGGTTATTTGAATGATTTATAAATATAAAATGTATATTTTCAGCGATGATTGGAGTGATGTGACAGTTCGTCATACTGTGTTGGAATTGTTAAAGGACTTAAACCAAACCAGACTTGCTCAAATAAGCCCACTTTCACAGGTTAGTTCTGATTAGATTGTAAATGTTTATCACCCTCAACTAAGAAATATCAAGGAAGGGCCCTATCAAATTTTACAAGCCTTTAGCAAGGAATGAATTCATGTGTTTGAAGACAATCGTGAATATGTGGAATGCGTCCTATGTAAATCAGTCATAAGGTCTGATCCAGATTGAGAAGCAGTCAGCTAGATATAAATTAACCAATTGCAAGTATGTACAGTATTCACATCATAAACGCAAGCATTCTTACCACTACATGTCTCATTTAGTTAAATCAACTCGGTATCACCTTTTTTTCTGTCAGTTCAATTATAATTTAAAATGTTGATTTTGGTTTTGACAGTCAATGATTTCCTGTATAGCAAATGCAAGATATACAGCAGCTATAAGCAAGGATAAATGCCAAGAGTTTGGGAGATGGTATAGGATTTACAGGGCTCAAGCTCAAACTCAAGGTGAGTAGTATTCCTGCTGTCTGTCTACCAATAATATTTATTATTGTAATAGTATAGTTGTATTTCATGCACTAAAGATGAATAGGTGCACAAAGGCTAATTATTGCATGAAAAAATTGCCTGAGAGCCTGCTCAAAAGAATCTTTTTGTATTCTCAGTCTAGTCTATAACAAGTATTTTTTGTATATGGAAAAACAACTACACTAACAGCTTTATAAGTAAATCCATTTCTGAAATAAATGATAAATTATAATTGATTTTCATAATGATTCTGTTGTTGAAATTATACCCTGGTCTTATAGTAAGATGAAAGTTCTTAATATGATTATTGTATGGCTTGTTTTTTGTATATCATTGCTCTTTATGGGATTTATATTTACTTTCTCTCATCACTTCCTTCTGAAAGCAAAATAGTAGAGCTTTACATATTATCCATATAAATCTAAATCTGCCAATTTAGTAGATTGCCTTGGTCTGCTATATGTTGGTCACCATGTAGATACAAGTAAATTAAAACTATTTATTTTAAGTCATACACATTTGTAGTTTGAATCATTGTGTATTAATGTTAATCATTTATTTAGTTGTTTTTGTTATTTAAATTTGGTATGTATAAAACACATCTTCACTATCCAATATTGAAAAATAAAAAATGTAGTGTGAATATTAATATTTCTGTTATTCTTATTTTCAGGTTTTGATCAATAATATTAATTGGTAATAAAGGAAGGTGCAACTCCAATCAACAGTTCAGTGTAAAAATCAATAGATGGTAATTAAATGGAATATTTTAGGTTATTCAGTCTAATTTAGAAACCATACGCAATTTGAAGTTTTTATTTATATAATTGTGAAACCAAAATGTGGCATTTTTGGGGCTTTTAGGTAAATCAAAAGAAGTACTGTATATTAATTACTACTAGTATTACCATTTTGAATGTAAAATAAGCAAAATAAAAGAATAATCACTATAGATATTGATTTATAGACCCTAAAAGTAATATATTAGCATTTTGAAAGCAATTTTATACTACTGATCATAAAAGAAATGTCTAAAGGTCAATAATGACATTGATATCAACATTTTGATTTGATTATAGCAGTTGAAGAAACTAATTGCAAATATTTAAAATAACGAGTTTTTGTTTTAAAAAAAGGAAAACCATGCTGTTGTTGGCATATCTGTATTGTATTTAATCTTTTTTTTTTTACATGGATAGTAATTGTTTGATTTTTGTAAGTGTTATAATTGATATGATCTAAAGCACTTTGGCTAAAGGCTGTACTACGGGTAAATGTACAAAACACTTGCGATTGTTACATAAGGTTCTCTTTTTATCAGATCAACATACACGGTTTTGAAAATTAAAACAACATGAATAACTGATTATGTATGTAAGAAAATACAGTATTAGAAAACAATTTCACCTGGTATTTGACCTGTTGTGTGGATTAAAATACTATACATAAATCAGTAATGTAGTCTATGAATGAGGAGCTTAGATAAACACACCCACCTTCCCTCACTATCAAGCTTTGGTGTCCCAGGAGAGAGAATGCACATGGTGTCCTACAGTGGACGGTGCTATTATTTAGGGGTGTTTTAATGAAAGGAATTGTGGCAATATCCAAGTTTTTACAAGTTAATAAATTCAATAACAAATACATTTCTTATGCAGTTTCCAAAGGCTACCTTGTATTTTTTCTTATAATACAGAATACTTTTACATTGTGCTCTCGACATAATTTTAGTAAAAATTTAATGAAAGTATTTTTGGTAATATTTTTAAATGCAATATTATTTTTTTTCTAGTATTTTTTTTTAAATGCACCCAGCTTCTAGATTGCACTCAGGTAAGTTATTTTGTAATAATTAATTGACAAAGTGTATAGCAATTAGCATAGAATGCTATTGCAGTCTGTCAGTTGATTTTAATTAATATCAATCAAAATTGTGGAATAAGTTTCATCATAATTTTGAGATTTAATTGAGAGAATATTTTTAGTGTTAATTGCTGCACATAAACATGGACTTTCTCACTCCTGAGTCTCGGTAAAAACGCAAGGGCCTTTTTAAAAGAATTATTGCCATAATTGTAAATTTTTTCATATAAATACAAAATTCTTTATTTCATCAAAAATTCAAATACATAAAATGAACAGACAAAAAAGGAACCCTCATGTTGCATAAAGAGGCTTGCTAAAAAATAGAGAGGGGACTAAGAGAACACGATAGCAACCAAATCAATAAAGAAAATTAAGTTGTCAAGCCTGTCCAGATTATCAAATTTTCTTGAAAAACTGTTGTATGCCCATATATAGTCATGATGTGCTTATATATATACGGTAGCTGTGATGTGATGTCATCATGACCATATTTAGACATGTCACATGTTTTTGTCAAATAAAATCAGTCTGGTCAGGGCTTTAGCACCTGTCCACTTACAAATGCAACTAAAAGCTAACTTATGATTAAACTAATAACAATCATGTTACTACTGTACAAAGATACTAGAAACACAAATAGGGTTCTCCACAGAAAAAAACTGTTCCGGCCGCGTATTACTGGATCTAAAAACATTTTGCCAAACTTACATAACTGTGAATACATAACCTCCTTTTACGTAGGTAGAAATTGTTGCCATTATTCATAAGATACAAACAAATAGGCATAAATAAATCAAAGCATCATATGACAGACACAAAACTGCAGAACCGTATGACGAGACTGATTAGTGATAAAGTTTTCATTTTTAGTGGAAAGAGAATGGTGCGGCGTGCGTCCGGATTTACTTAGCAACAAAGATCTTTGCTTACCAACTCAAGTGCGCCCTGTACATCTTGACCAAGTATAGAAAATTTTCATTAATAAATAGAGAAGGGCGCCGTGTACATCTGAACCAATTTCCGTCTCATTTTTGCTATGCGGGTACTTTATCTTGTGTTTCTAGTATCTTTGCCAATTATGTGCTGTTTTCATACAGTACTTGTGAAATTATTCATAATGAATTTGCCAAGTGGACTTGATAAGTCAAATTAAATAAATTTGTGTGAGGTAGCTGCATTGTATACATTCTCTTAGAACAGTAATAAATATACAAAAACATCTTATAAAAGATTATTCAGAATTTGAATTATAGAAATTTGTTTTTTTTTTTTTAATAATAATGTGGTCTTTTTGATTAGAGAACATCATGCATTGTATTAGATTTTAGGAAATGTGAACTGTACAAGATTTGTAAAATCGTTGTTTCCATAAATGCCATGTACAAGTAACTTTACACAGCCACAGTCCCACTTGAACCCATTCAGTTCTTTAGCCGATGCTCATCGGCACCATGAACTGTGGTAACCAGCTATATGGCTTGTAGACTTATTCAATATACAAATCTGAAAGCATAAGGATAGCTCACAAAAAGTCTGCTGATCTATTAATCAGCATCAAATCAGGCAACATTGTAATTGTTTTAACCATTTATGCCATCTGTAAAAATTAAATCGAATGGTAACTTTATTTATTTCCGAATAAAAAGCAGATCACTAAAAAATTGATTACTATACCAGCCAATTCAACAGTATGCATATGAAATCAGTATTCCGCTAATCATTGAAATATATTTTATTTTGCTAATTTCCAAGTAAAAGCTTGGATGAATATTCAAATATTGATTTTTCTTTTTAAATTCATCTGTGATCAGCTGAAGAATTTGAGAAAGAAAAATCAAATATTGATTTTTCTTTCTTAAGTTCTTCAGCTGATCACAGATGGTATATCCTTAAGAAATTTGATAACTGCTGGAAAGATTATGTGATCATATAGTAGTTGAGGCTTTGTCCACACTATCATGTTATGACATCATTATGCTCATATATAGGCTAGTGTGGACAGCCCTTAATACTGGAGCTGAAGATCTATCAATAGTTGCTCATTGATATCTTGCAGCAAGGCTGTATTATCCCAATCGATTTCATCGGTTACTTCATCCTCTGGTTCTACATCAATCTTGTTCACCTAACGAATGCAAATACAGTAAATTTATAGCAGTTAAATCATGAAATATAATAAATTGACTTCAGAAATAATGCAATTAAATAGTGTTCAGTTTTATTTTTCTATACTTGTTACTTAAGTGGGAATGAGACATATGCAAAGCATTGTTATTGCACACATTCAAAGAATCAAATGGGGTATAATTAAACCACAAAGTATTTTATAGTAAAAACATTCATACAAAATGAATTAAACAAAACATCTAATAGACAGAGCATGGTACAAAATTTATCATTATTAGGTAGTATTGAGAACAAATTTAATCTGCTGGCCACAAAGAAATACAATCAAATTATAATTATTACAAAGCACAGTGGAGATATAGGCAGGTCATTAAAATGCTAGTCCTGGGTTTATTTTGTCACACCAAGATTTTTCCTGCAAGTACCCCTCCATAACTATTAGTTATAATTGCCAATTATATAAAATACAAACCTTAACAACACCCTCCAATTCTTCAGGTGTCACAAGGGAGGTTGTATCATCAACGACCGGTGCAACCTTCCCATTGTTAAGCACTACAAGTGAGCATTTGGAGAATGCATTTTCATATGCACGGTTACACGCTACCCTCTTGGCTTTTTTAATAGCTGTCATTTTACTTTCTAGTAAAAAAAAAAGTTGTACAAGTCATTAATTTTGAGTGCTAACCTTTAAGTTACCGTATTTGTAGAGAATAAATGCATTCCCCCACTTGAAATATAGCGCCCCACCCCCCTTCTAAAGCCTCATTTGGAATAAACGCCTACCTCAAATAAAACCTCGGGTTTTGAGTATACGTATCCACTTTACACCCAAAAAAATAAACGCCTTTCTCGAATAAATTTCCCCTCCCCCAGAAAATATCCCTCAACAATAAACACCCTGGGGCGTTTATTTGAATACGGTATTTATTACCTGTACCTTAAAGGAGAATGTTGTTTCACTGCATAAGTCTTCGGAACGAAGTAGTGTCCATGGTGGTGGTAATGGATCTGTACATACCGTAAATGCTCGAATAAGCACTGCGGTGCTTATGGAATTGTTCTTCAGGCTTCAATGCAGTGCTTATTGAAAAATATTGGTGTGGCGTTTTCCATGCCCCTTCCCATGTTATCTATTTCACTTATTCCCGTAGTTCAGTAGGCCTGTCATAGGTTCTATCATCGTAAATAAATGTTCATAAAGAAATGTTTGTGCCTTCATTGAGTTATTTATTCATTTTAACACTTAATACATTGTACAGTATTTAAAACCCTGTTTCTCAAAGTGTTTCATTACTCTTGACTAAGCGCCGCGGCGCATATTCGAGCATCTACGGAATATAATCTGATAAATGTGAAACCGATAAGGGTACACTGTGCATTTCTTTAACAAACTTACTTAATCCATAATAAACCAACAGCTTGTATAACGATGTCGGTAATAAGTTCACTTGAGCTACATAAAATTAAATCAAGAATGTTATTATTGCACGTAGGGTTCATATTACATTGAAATAAATTAAGACTAGAAATTAAACTATCTAAAAAGAGTTCGTCAATAGAATTGGTGGGTGCTAACCCAGTGCCATCATTTTTCCATACGATATTGGAAAGGGTTTACATCGCCAACCAGAATTACTTGATGACGAGGGTAGACAGCTGTTGCATCTTCAACAGATTGAGCTATTTTTAGTATGCTTTCCCGTCCACAAATCAGTGCTCTATAGACAACTCCTATAAGAACCGTTTTACTTCTACTTATTTTCACTTCAACCCATAAAAGTAGTGTCCATGGTGGTGGTAATGGATCTGTACATACCGTAAATGCTCGAATAAGCACTGCGGTGCTTATGGAATTGTTCTTCAGGCTTCAATGCAGTGCTTATTGAAAAATATTGGTGTGGCGTTTTCCATGCCCCTTCCCATGTTATCTATTTCACTTATTCCCGTAGTTCAGTAGGCCTGTCATAGGTTCTATCATCGTAAATAAATGTTCATAAAGAAATGTTTGTGCCTTCATTGAGTTATTTATTCATTTTAACACTTAATACATTGTACAGTATTTAAAACCCTGTTTCTCAAAGTGTTTCATTACTCTTGACTAAGCGCCGCGGCGCATATTCGAGCATCTACGGAATATAATCTGATAAATGTGAAACCGATAAGGGTACACTGTGCATTTCTTTAACAAACTTACTTAATCCATAATAAACCAACAGCTTGTTATGAACATCATATATACTTGATATTTAAGCAATAGTGGTAAAACAACAATAAACTTGATTGATACAAACCAGAAGAACTGAATGCTACTTGTCCTAGTCCAACCCCATCACTGCTGACATCGTGAAAACGAAATAAAATCCTAGCATTGCACACATAACTGGCAACATCCTTTTCATCAGCTTCAGTATACTCTGAAAGCTAACAAATTGTTACTTTGGGTTTAATTTATTTGTAGTGTATCACTTATTTTTCCAACAACACAATAAATCTTACAATAAACAACAGAAAATGAAAGCAAAATAAGTTGGCTATATACAGGGCTATATTTACCGAAATAATCTGACTTGACCATCCATTGAATCCTAAGTAGTAGTTAGCCAGCTCATAACACTTTTCAATGAATAGATCTTTTTTTGTATCAAGAATTTTACTGCCTTTAGGATAGTCAGCCTAGAAAGACAATTTCAAGAGACTAAAAAAAAAACCAATTCTGTTAATATTAAGTGCAATACTAAAGAACTATATCCAGGGAGTTGAGTATTCTCAATAGGTATGGGATCCAATGACTGGAATATTAAATGTGAAGCTCACAGAGGCCTTGTTGGCTTGATGTGATATATAAATCCACCATGCTCCAGCATTGCTTGTGGATGGTAGGATTCCATGGTTGAGTGTTAAGGGGCGTGGCTACCACTTAGGCATGTACTGTGTGTAGTAGCAGATAGAGGAGCACAAATCACAATACCATACTGTTAAGCTCTCTAATTCTCAAATTTTCTTTGACAAAAAACTGTTGTATGCCCATATATATATATATAGTCATGATGTGCCTATATATGACCATACTTAGGCACGTCACATGTTTTTCTGATGTAAAATGTGATAGCCTGACCAGGGCTTTAAACATTACCTTAAGGAACTGTCCATCTAGCATGTGCTTAAGATGAATGGCTGCTTTAGCCTGTGCTACAGCTTTAGTTGAATAAAATTTGACGAAAGCATATGAATTTGAAATACCAGTAGCAGCACTGGTTCCTGCCTCATTTTGCTTCGGTCTAAACACCAATATGTCATAGATGAGGCCATGTTTGTCGAGTAAGCTTTTCAAATGTGCCTGTAAATAGCAGAACAATAAGAATCAAATGATTAAATGAAAAAAAAAATATACATATCCAATAGAGTGTGTAAATGCCTTGAAGGCGAGCTCAACTTTGTACTAACAAATGTATTAATAAGATAATACAACTGTTGTATTTGGAACCTGCCCCAAAAAAATTGTATTTATATTTGTTGAAATTTGGCACAAAATCATCATAGAATGGCTAGAGGGGTGATAAGAAGAAACCTTAGGTTGAGAGGCCAACACAATATATGAGTGTCATCTACAGACAGGTATGATGGTACACTGTAGTGTTCACTTGTTTGGTCTTTATAATGTTTTAGAAATACAAACATTATGCAAAAGGTCTCCCTTTAATTAAAGACCATTCATATTAAAGACCATCTACTGTAAAGACCACTTTCTGTGTCTTTTACCTTTATTATTCTAATAACCAAAGACCAAAGCTGCTAAAGATCATGGAAACCCCGGTCCCAAAAGTGGTCTTTAATTGGAGGGAGACCTGTTTAACTGCAAGGTTTTCAGCGGATTATCTTTCTCTCACCACGCATTCAGATTCTGTAAATTTGTTACTGATTCCAGTTATGTACAAAGTTTTTGTTCTTTCTAATGGCCTCTTGAACTCAATCAATTCAGCTTCGCAATCCATTTCAAATACTTTAGCTCACTTTATCTAAAAAATGGCAAACAAAATTCTGTTATTAGTGGTTATGAAAACTTTACAGAATAAACACAACTTTTAAACAAACATAACACTTAAAATATTTCATAGTTATGTTTCTTTTCTGTTTTTGGTAAAGCACATTAGAAGCAACTTTCTTGTATTATGCGCTATATAAGACTTACATTATTATTATTAATTATAAAAACAATATAGGCCTTAAATTATATAAATGTAATAAATAATAATAAACAATTATATACTGTAATATTAAAAATCCTTAAATATTATGCGATGCCAGTGATAAACAGGGTGCCAACAAAAAATAGGCTTTGACTGAAAATAGCAGCTTAGGTAGGGTGTGTGAAAACTGTACCACTCAGTTTCATTATCGCATGGGGATACTGTAAAAGTGTAAACTGCTGTTCCGACGATTTTACACAAATCAGAGAAGATTTGTGGAGCTGGTTTGACCATGGAGTTATAATTATTCTTAATTTTATAACTCCATGGTTTGACGACCCTAACTTTGTCTCAACATATCAGATCAACATCCATTTCCTTTTATGGATAGGTAGTGGATAGTTAGCAAGGAGGAAAAACCTAGGTCTAGGACTACTCGTTTACACAGCATTTTCGTGATAGTTTTTTTAGGGCGCCCAGTACAAACCAAGGAGTCAGCCTAAAAAATATACACTTTTATAGTATTGACTGATAAATTAAATACCAGCCAATTTATAAGATTAATTCACGAAAATAAAATCTTAAATTTGAATAACAAGTCAAATTTGCTTGATTTACGCCGTGTCTCAAACTTCTGATTAACGTCTACTAGCCCAAAAAGCCTTTCCATAGCTAGATAGAGGACAATGCCTATAGACCTAGAGGCCTAGACTAGGCCTAGACCAGGCCTACAGGAGCAGTAGGCTAGCTAGGCCTACCAGTACCCAACACCAATCACTGTACCTCACTGACTAGACCCTAGGCCTAAATAAGAATACTTCTCATCTACTAAAATCAGCCTGCTTGAGCTTCTGCATATTTACAGTGCACATGCCACTTCTACATAGGCAAGGCCTACCGTTAGTAGCCTAGACCTAGGCCTAGTCGGAATTCAGTTTCTTTATTTGCTAATCAAAACAAAAATTCAATCGAACCGCTACCACCAAAAACCCCGAACGACGTCTTCTTGAGGGCGCAATTCAATCCAATTTTGCAAAAAAAAAAAAAAAAAACATTCAACAGTACGCGTTAGTAAAGTACAGCCTGACGCCCTCTATAAGTAATTCTATCTCTTCCACTTGACGCAGGCGACGCAGGGTTCCCGGAACGCCGCCCTCGGCGGCGAGTGCGAAGCACAACTCAGGCTCAAAAGTGGAACGTGAAATTTGGATATGGTTTTGTGAGTCAGATTTGCGAGAAAAACTTCAGCTACCCGTATTTCTCGACTGAGACGTCAGTGGGAGCTGTAATTTGTATGGCAAGGAGATTGTGCAACCCTTCATTCGTATTAAGGGAATTTACGCCCATTAACTTTGTAGTTATTAATATTTTGGTTATAATAGAAAATATTCATTTTTTGGGGACGTCACACTCACATTAGTTAGCATCAAAGTTAGCATGCATACGTCATAAGCTAGATACGTCACCTTTTCCTGGTAAGGCAAACTTTCCCGGTGGCGTGCTTACTGCTTTTTTCATGGATAAACAAACACCACTGCTTTGCACATGGATGCCTTGCCCAAGCCAGGGCTACAAGAGCCGCATTGTTAGCATTGTATAATACTTAAACAAGGTACCTCTGCAAATGAATTATTCTTAGTTATTTTTTTTTTCTTATTTTAATTTATTTCTTCCGAAAGTGTACCCTCTATCACATATAATTCCACTGTCTTAGTTAGGCCTAGGCCTAGTCTTATGCCTCATCGTCCCCCGCTACACAGTACATCAGCAGCCCCTCCCCCATACAGTACAGACGTTTGCTAGGTAACAACGTGATTGCACCTTCCTTCCCAGGTGTTCATGTAGCATTGACATAATTGTTAGCTAACCAGTTGTGTGTATTTCTTTGGGAAAATGAGTACCGTAGAAAATGAGTACCGCGGCGTACTCATTTTCACAAAGCATTGCATCCCCTCTTGGAAAGAGGGATTCGAAATAATTGTCTCCATATCTTCGCTAATTGAATTAATCACCGTAATTTAGCTTACACTTATGAATTTAGGGAGCACTTAAAATGTGAAATAATCATTTCACTACCCGACAAACTGAACTTTATTCATTCATTAGGCCTAATATTATTATACTGTAGTTTCATATTGCTGTACTATATACTCTATCATCACTGGTGCATGGTAACAACCAACTGACTGCAGACCATTTCCGGTCACACATTACTCTCCATAACACAGCACCCCCTAGTTCCGTCACCTCTGGGTTCAATTAATTAAAATAAGAAAAGTAATATTTTACCGGTCACTTTTTTAAAAGCTCTACTAGAACTTACTGTAGCCTCCTTCCATACAATGTATTTGTTTCAATTTGCATTCATTCTTATTGTATACTGTACTGTACTGTATTGTATGGAAAATAAATGCATATTTGATTTAAGATTTGAACTTTTTTAAATAACACTTCCTATACCAATAGCAAATAATTATTTTCCCACAGTAAAATGACTGTAAACCATGGAATTCTTTTAACTGCGACTTATTGAATGTTGATGAAATATTAATTCTACAAATGATGTGACATGAGCAAATAAAAGTTGTACTATACAATTTAAATTTTTGAGCGGTTTTCCATGTTTGGGTGGCAGTATTGTATCTTTGACCAGGAATGTACAACACCACCACAATGGAATACTATAATTATATTTATATTTTGCATTATCTACATTGTATCTCTCATGGTAACAAATAAGAACAGCTTCATTTCCAGGCCTCCTACTTTAAATCATTCCAATGTTTATTACATCATGTAAATGGTATGCATCACTTGCTGTTGAATGGGAATGAACTTAAAATATATACAGTATTACAAATAAATAAATATGTGAGGGGAAATCAATGCATTTAATATCAAATCAATATGCTTATTTGTTAGTATTTAATCATATCGATTACCTCAGCCAATCATACGGGATTAACACAACCCATACATTGTCGGTAAATATTATGTCAGAGATCAATCGTAATGTATAGTATTCCTCGGCATGACTATATCGATTTCATCACACAATGATAAGAGATTATTCATTTAATATTCATTTGACTTATTATTGTGTATATTACGTATACATACAGTATTCAATTGAATAGTTACTTGCTACAAGAACCACCAATGAAAAAATATGTATCAATCTGCTCCAATAAACAATTACAACATTCACTTATAATCGCAATACTGTAGCCCAAAAAAATTCAATAAATACAACTCAATATAATAAAAACAATAAATAAAATAAAGTACTTTTGTTAATAGAATAGGTCAACATGTCCTAGAGGGAGCATCATCGATGGAGGCATTGTAAGCAGCAGACAGTTGAGGTTGAGAGGGACAATTAAAGTTTAATTAATGCAAGTGGAAGAAATGTAGATTTTAAATGACTGTCAGTGATTTCTGAGAAAGACAGATGTTTTACATCAGAATAACAGAATTTATAAGTGTGTTGGATTACTGTATATATATATAAATATATATATATATATATATATACTTATATATTATATATATTAATATAAGAATTTTCATTGGTAAAAAGTACTGTATTGATTGATTTTAAGTGTAGTTTTACAAATAATCAACACATACAATGTACAACAGCATATCTGTAATAATAATCAACACATACAATGTACAACAGCATATCTGTAAATAAAGAAAGTTTATTTGTGTCATTATAAAAGCTACATACTGTGGTACAAACTACAGTATAGAAAATATAGATACATCTTTGGATACTAATTCTAAAACCCTGAGTATCCACAGAGGATGCCTATCAATTCATCTCCATCCTTTGGAATAAAAGAAACTTTATTATACATTGTTTAGCTGCAGCGGCGGCGCCAATCGGTCTGGTCAAGCACCTCCATCGGCAAAAGCTTGTCGGGCAGCCAGACCGAAAAAAAAAAAGGCCATCCCAGCAATTTCCGGCCATCTAGAAGTCCCAATTTAAAAACAAAAAATCTTGTTTTGGGTGGAGGGGATAGCCCCTCCCATACCTACCCCCAGCTATAGTTACACCCATAAATACTTATGGGCCCTCCAGTTGGACATCTTAGACCGCACTCCGCACTCCCCCACCCCCATAAATTATATCCTACAGGTAGAGCCACCACTGTTTAGCTGCCTGTCAATAATAATTTTGAATAAACACAAAATGTTACATTGTTGGTGCAAACACTCATAATAATAAAGTATTTATCAATCTGATTACTGAACTGCTTACATCGCATTTATAATGAAATCAACCACTACCATGGATCTCTATACCATGCTCAATTTCACCATTGCTTCATGCTTTGCTATAGTAAATATAGAGAATATATTTCAATAATTCCACTGTATAAATAGCATTGCTTTAGTGTTGGCCAATTTGTACTATACACTGATTATAAAATGGCCATTTTGGTCAAATTTTTACCAACTGTTTTTGGTATGTTAATAGCCTTGGTAGAGTTACCTAATATTTTTAAGGTCAATGTCATGTTTTCCTTTACGGCATGGGGCCAATTTGACCTACTTCCCACTAAGTATCCACCCACTTGTGGCAACTTTTACCTTAGACCTTATATCAGTTTATCCCTATGGGAACATTTTTCCTAGGCCCATATTTAATAATATTAATAACTACTGTACTTCCTTAGGTTACAATTGTGACCCGAGTTAAGTGGGGTTACCATAATCAACTTTATAAAAGCCTTAAAAAAGTACAAAACAACAGAAATAACACTTAAAAATTCAAAATGCATAACTTATTTAACTGAGTAACAATAAAATGGTATAATGTAAATCAAGCTAATAATAGCAATTGGTTTAGGCAAAATGTTATATAGACTTTCAAAGATATTCCTACCGAAATCATCTTCATCGTAAATACAAACCTTGGTAAAAGTCAGTACAATTGTCAATTATCTTACTAAATTATACCTTAAAAGTATGGGCACAGATTACAAAATACCTTTATGCCCCTTTTTTCTAGCTTTGCCAAATACCCTAAGAAATAATAATTATTTGAGATTATTATAAAATAAAAATCAAATTCCAGTACATTGCCATCATTATAAGTGTCACATCTATATCTCCCAACTTCAAACTAACAAGCACTCCTGCTAACAAGTATACCTTTCAAGATCTGTACAAAACTATTCATTTATAAAAATCAGAGTTTTAAAAAAACACTCCAATTAGTTTTATGTACATGACAATCCTAAATGAGGATTTCATTCTTACTTTATGAAAATTTAAAGCTGTTTCGAAATTCAAATTAACAACAATTAGGTCACAAGTGTAAAAGGTTGCATTGAAATTGTTAAATCAATAGCTGACTTGTACTTGGAAATTAAGTACTAATTACTGTTTCTTTGCATAATATTGTATAACAGTGCTATAATGCCGGCGGGAACTAATTCTCTGAACACTGGATACATTTTGTAATAATTTTAGAACCATGCATTTTATTCTATATCAAAAACATGTAATTCAAATTGTGTTTGATACAGCAAATGAAATATAAAAACAAATATTTGCATATAAATGTCAATAAAAAATGCTCTTAAATAAAGAAAGTACTTCTAATTCTTTTGAATACCATATGATATTAATAATTTAGCAACAATACTATAAAACAACACATTTGCTTTTTGTTGTCAAATTCTGTATTTGTTTTGCTTACCATATATTTCCATTTTCTTTTGTGTATAGATGACTGAATTGAAAATTATATATGTAAAATTACACAGACATATGTGCAAGTACATACATGATAGACTGTAGTTATACAAACACACATAGCCACACTCTATAATTTAATATTTACACACTCATATGTACATCATCCTCTTATTGCCCACACATGCACACACCCAACTCCATCCCATTTCCACACATGCACATTCACCTACTTGTTCACACATACACATTCTCGCATTGCCCACACTAACACATCCACCCACACACCAAGACCTTCACTTCCACACACATTTGGCACTTAACATCCCCCACTCCCGTACACTCCACACGCACTAAGACCTTCACTTGCACACACATTTCACACTTAACATTTGACACTGTCTAGATGGGCTGACATTGGTCCAAATTCTGAAAGTTAGGATTGCGCAATGGCCTGCATTATAACAATGTAACTACCACCATACAATGCTACTGTTGCATAATACTACTATCAACATAATACAGTTACTACAACACACTATCATTTACTAAATTTGATGAGTTTGGCCCAGGTCCCTCATGAAGTGAACTCAGCAACTTGAGTTTAAAATTGCTAGAGAGGAGCTTTTCACTCCTAAATACTAGTCTTTCATTAGAGAGGTGAATCAGTCGGCTAAATGAACAATGAGCAGCTCAGTTGTCCCATCTACCAATTAATTGACATACCAATAGCAAAACTGTCAACCTGGAAATAAAACCAAAAACCATCATTAAAACTATTACTGTTGGTTATTCTTTTCTGACTGGTCCTCTATGAGGTGGTTTAGAGCAACTTCAAATGCTTTGTAACTGCAAAGAAAAGGTACTATATAAATGGGCATGTAAGTAAATACAATACCCAGCCAATAGAGGCTCCGGTCCTTTAGGCGCCGTAACAGCAAAGGCAACTGATGGTCATGTTAATGAGGATGACAATTAATGATGACAACAAAAATGATAATAATGGAGATTACGATAAATACAATGATAATGGCGGTGGAGTGGTATGATGATGATGACAGGAGATGATAGTATTAATAATGATAATGATATTGATGGTGACAAGTCATCAGTAATACAAGTTATAATAACCATTGCAATCATTACCATGTGACAAATAAAGTAATAAATGTGAAGCCACTAACCAAGACATCAAGATTTTAGGCATCCTGGGAAGCAGGTGCTTCCAATTCTATTTCTTCTTGATCATCGTATGTTGAGGGCGTCATCCACTGACCTTTACTGGCGTTAAATATGTACTTGTACACAAAAGCAGCAAGAAGACATCCGCAGGTTGGTCCAGCAACATACACCTGTAAAATAAAGTAAGTATTCAAAAGAGAGGTACGAAAGACTAAAGCACTAAATACATTACTTCACATCTTTAAACACCTATGACTCTTTGTGACTCCTAATCACTTTAATTATTCTACTACACAGATGATTTTTCTTCCTCAACATTTCTCTCATAGGCTACGTTCAGACTTGGAGATAAGCCAGGCTTGAGTTAAGCCCAGCTCAACGTTAAGCCCGGCTGAACTTTGCCAGGCGTTCAGACTAGCGAGATTAGCCAGACGAGAATTTGCATAATAATGAACCGTAACCAGGAAACGTGTTTCAAAACATTGCTCGCGAAACGTATGCTCACTCACAGCGTACGTAATTGAATGCTGATTGTCATTTTGTCACCCGAAGTCAATGCAAAACCACCCCCCCCCCCAACGATTAAAGCCCAGGTTAGAAAAGTTAAACACAGTGGTGCGCCAAGCCTTGTTACTATAGGAATACAGCCACCTAGTTCAGACTGACAGGTGGATAAACCCGGTGAGTTGAGCCAGGTTAATCCAGTCTGAACTGGGCCTTAAACACCTTATTTCACTCCACTAAACATGTCAGTTCAACCTACTAAAATCCCTTTCTTTAGCCACCTAAGCACCTCAATCCACTAAACACCTTAACTGACTCTCATAAAAATTACCTGCCACTTCCTAAACACACACTGCCACTCCTTTGAACATTTTACTTCAAAATATTTCAGTGAAAAAATTAGTCTTTTGCAAGATGTAATCAGGTAAATGTATATACCACTCTTAAATGCAATAATTCCCCCTACTATAACCTACAGTAAGCTTCATTCTCCTACATATTCAACTAAATCTTATACATTATCTTACTTTACTCTCTTAAACACCATACCCTATTTGTTTCTAAGCACTGGACTCTGTTTACTATTTCTCTATATTTAACTCTACTCACCCAAATATTTTCAAGGTTGCCAAGAATCACAAGCGGCCCCAAAATCCTTACGGGATTCATACTTGCTCCAGTAAATTTAAACTGCAAAAGCAAGGAATCAAAATTACAATGAAATTAATTTTAGAAAATCTTAGAATCAAAGAGGAGAGCTAAAAGGCAATAAATGGCAGATAATCAATCTTGTTACAAAAATGTATTGCAAATTATTTAGATTAAATATTTTTAAGTTTCCTAAAAACATTTATTTTAAAGTCAAGAAGGGATGGAATAAACCTAACTTACACCCCATAACGTATTAAGAAGAAATGCAAGACCAACTGGTACAGCCCCTGAGGGGCGATGTCCAATTAGGTTATTATCTTCAGTTGTTGCAAAGAAAGTAAACATCAAGATAAATGTCATTATCAATTCTAATGCAAATGCTTGGAAGCCATTAATGATCCCCAAATCAAGATCATTCATTCCAGTGTTAGTTTGGACTAGATCAGGCAGACAACTGAAAAGATAATAAAAATCAGTAAATGTACGAACAGGAAATAAATAAATGCAGCAGTATGATTTTATGTAAACTGCAGGGTCTGAAATATTTATACAATATATTTGTAAGTGGTGACAATTAGGCATAGATGTTGTGAAACTTTTCATGTTTTAAATTCAAATTAAACTTTTTCAAATTCAAATTACACTTTTCAAGGTTCAAGGACTTGCAAAGAATGTACTGTACCAAGTCAGGAAATGCCAGTAGCATACAGTGTGATAGGAGACATTATATTCAATATATACCATATCTTTATTATCTGTATTATAATAAAGGTATCAACGACTGTATTGGAAGATCATAACAAATATTAAAAACAATCAAATGTGACATGGATGATGACATGAAATAAAATTATATAAATAAAAGCATTCATGATTTATAATTATGGTTATTCAAATGAAATCTAAACTATTAAAAGTATAACACATCAGATAAAAACAAAAAGCTAGCAAGATTAAAAGTGGTTAAAAGTTATACTCACCCCTTCAGCAGAGCTGTTCCTGTGATGGCCCCAATACTCTGTGCTACGATGTACACTACCCCGGTAAGGGGACTGACATGCCTTGCTGTCATCATTCCAATACTGATGGCTGGATTCATATGTGCTCCACTTATCCTCTCAAAACAATGTATCAATGTCACAACTATTTAAAAAAAATAAACAATTTATATTTTTATTTTATTATACAAAAACATCAAAATTTATTAAATATCTGCAAAAACCTTTTTAAAATATATAAAAAATAACATGATCAAGGAAAACAATATATAATTCAATACTGGTCTGCATGTATACAGTATTTCTCATTTCCATGGCAAATACCTTTCACAGTATTTCATTTTCGTTTGTTGCCTACAAAATTTATGTCAAAACATTTAAAAAAATGTCCAATTGACATTCAAAATCACATTATAGACAGAAATTTAAATATCTACATGTTTATGACAAATAATGTATATAGTCACTTTTCCTTTTTTTTTTTTTTTTTAAATATAAAATTAAAGAGATTAAAATTTCCACGTGTCTGGATTAATTATTACAATAAATGTAGCATTACACCTATATTTTCCCCTCCTTATAATAAAATTGAATAAAATGGTTTGCTAATGTTATTTAAATGAATTCACCTATGTCTTGTAACCTGTTTGAAGATTCCTTCATACTGTTTGCAAATTTACTCTTACATCTTGCAATATGTTTGCAGATTCATTATCCAGTGAAGAGCTAATTGCCTTATTCATTGTGATAAATCACAAAGATCTCTTTTACTAAACATCTATTCTTTTATCAACTCCTCCATTGTGTGTTTTCAACAGAAAGAATTAGGACATTCTACTACAAATAGCTTTCTAACTACACAGCACACTGAATCACATACAGTACTGTACATACAAATGTTATCTAGAAAAGCCATACCACTTCATTGAAAGGACATCTTTTATTTATAATGGGCCATATTTATGGAACAATTTACCCTTTAACCTTAAACTATCCCACACCTTATAATCTTTTAAAACAAAATATTATATATATTATATTCATATGTATGCATCTTAGTTTTTGTTTAATATCTATTAAGTAAAGTAGTGCACAAACTATAATATTTATATTCTCTGTCTAGCTGATTAGATTACATGTTACATCCACACCTAGTATTTCATTATTTTCATATATTTTTTTTATTTGTTTCTTATTTACTTATTGTTATTCTTAAGCTCAAGCCATTAACTAAATGTTTTGCTTGAAAGATCAGACTTAAGAATTTTTTTTTAGTATAATCCACACACAATGAAACTTTACTGTGTCTAGGTAATTATAAATTTGAATTTTTATTGTGAAGTTTTATTTTGTTCATATTATTGTTATTTTGAATTTATGAACCCATTATATTCTTCTATTGAATTATTATGATGTTCTTATTATGTTCATTGTGTGAAACAATAAACTGAAACTGAAATTCTTTGTCAATTAAAAAAAAAATGTTTTTTAATCAATTTATCTATTTTGACTAATTATCAACAATTTCAGTTCCAGTGATTTAACTGTTCCTCATCATTTATGCAATTAGTGACTGTCTACCATATTAAAGTGTTTTAACTGTAGTGTTATTCAGTAAATGTTCAAAATTGCGGTCAGGTCTGATTGTTGTACATTTCAGATCCCTGGAAGAACATTCACAATGCTACAAGAGCAAGGTTAAGCTTTTAGCTTCCTCTCCTCACATCCTTTATTCGTCTATTTTAAAGATTGCTGTTTGTCCTGAAAGGAAACTAGAGAAAACCTCTTCATTTCAATTACTGAATGTCTACCATATTAAACTGTTAACTGTTGTTGATATAAATGTTCAAATTTGTGGTCAGGTCTGATTGTCGTAAATTTCAGATGCCTGGAAGAACAACATTCACAATGCCACAAGAGCAAGGTTAAGCTTTCAGCTTCCTCTCCTCACATATCCTCTATTCGTCTATTTTAAAGATTGCAGAGTGTATAGTACAGGTATTACTATAATATCTTTTTTCAAAATCAGCAAAACAGCTTCACATTTTTACCCAAAAACGGTAATAAATACCGTACATAAATAATCATGAGTATTCTTGGTCGCAGAGTCAGTAAACACAGCAGAAACTAATAATGGCTAAGGTATATCGACGGTACGACTCAATATGTCTAACATCAGGTACAGTATATGTTTTATTCATGAATCCAATGTCCGGGGTAATTAACATGAAGAGAGAGGTCTTTTTTTGACATGATGCGCTTTTATATATTTCATTGGACTTATCTGTTGGATCGATAATAATATGAAGCGCATCGAAGCCTATTTTTGGCATGTGCGCTATGAGACTATATGTGGCAAAGACAAGCCAAACCAGTCACTCGTCGCAAATCGCGTTTCAGAGAAAATGGCCAAAATATGCTGGAATGTCAAATTTTTAAAAATCTACTTTATTATACTAAACTAACCTTTACATATCTGTACATCATTCTATGCTGTTATTTTCCCCATTTTTAATGTTAAAACAACACTTTTTAAGGATTTAATGATCGTTTCTGTATGAGAAAAGCATGAAATCATAAACTTTGAAGGCTGATTTCTCAGATATTGTTCTTTAAACAGCTATATGTTTAAACGCTTGTAACTTCATAAGGAAATATCCGATTTGAATGATTTTTTTACCATTTTATAGCTATTATTTTACTCTCTAACACTGTATTAATAACTCAAAATCAATTTTTGCGACGAGTGACTGGTTTGGCTTGTCTTTGCCACATATATTATATATTATATTAAGTAGAGATTTATCTCCTGGATTGTATGGTAGTCATCATATTGTCTTGCCCAAGGATGATGGAAACAATGGATGTTTGTGTAGTTTAGTACAGTACAGTAGTTACTACAGAGTATATTTATAGTCTTTATCATGGACATCTCCTCAAGTCTTATATTTAAAGTTATCAGAACTTATCTCAAACGGATCCAGAATTATCGGATGGCTTTAATAAAACAAAACATGTTGATATTTCAACGAAAAACTCCCACAGCACATTAAATGAAATCAGAGTTCAAAATTTCCCCACAATGAAAAAATTAAATGAAGTGTGAAGATTTAAACAATAGATTTTTGGAACGTAAATGGAGCGGAAACAACTTTGAAAGCGGAGGACTGGTAACTCATTCAGGTTGATGACATGCAGGAAACCACGCTCACAATACAACAAGAATTTACAACTTGGCTCATTATAAACCTATTACACTCTTTTCTTTTTGTCTACAGCATCGAATAACCTTTTGTACTTTCCTGGCAAATGCAAAACAATATCAAACAAGTGTCATAACAAGTCTTTACAGTGATTTCATAGTCTAATATCAGACAAAAAGTATCACCTTGGGCATAAAGAGAATACGTGGCAATGAAATCTCAGATTATGTTGATTACTACTAGTGATCAAAAAGGCGAGATGAACATAAATACCTCAATTAACAAATGGAGTGAGTGCAGTCACTGTTTGGGCTTGCTTGTACCTATTCTCACTCCAGACTCAAACTGTTCTTGATGATTGCCAAATAAATATTATTATTATTATTATTATTATCACATACAGTACACTTAGTTATAAATTTCACTACGGATATTATTTTTACATTTTATCAATGACTTATTTGTCCATCAAGTTTATTAGTACTATGAGAACATTTGTAAGCTATGAACATAAACGAATCTCTATTAACAAAAGAATAGGACTACACATACAATACAAGTAAATTTCACTAGGTCAATATATTATTTTTACATATCATCAATGACATATTTCTCCAAGAATATATATATATATATATACAACTTTTGTAAGCTACTGTATTAAAAATATAAACATCCTGAGGAACAAGTTATCACTGGCTAAGAAGTACAGAAGTTAAATTATGGCCTCTTGTTAAAAATTCAAATCATATTCAATGCGCTGAACTACTGAATGCATTAAAATGTCTAAAGAAACACACCCCATACTTGGAAATATAATAATAAGAGCAGCTGGCAGTTTGTTTGATTTAGAGATTCCAAAAGGGGATATAAAGCAATAAGTACTCGCACAAAAAAAAACACAATAATCAGTATAGGACGGAGTCACATTGTGAAACAAATACGTACTGTAAACAAGTCTTGGGTCTACTGTACTGTACATTTCAATATGCTGTGAATTTTAAAATAACAATGGCAAAGATATCTAATAATTACCATTAGCTAAATTTTGAAAGAATAGGTAGTCTAAAAGAATTCAACTTATCAATATTGTACATCATATTACTGCGTTTATTAGCAATGGGCGACTATCGAGGGTTTTTTGCTAATACTGCAGGTTTTTTAAAGGCCATAGGCTGTTAATGAACTAGAAAATGAGAGAAGTATGTCAAATCCCATACAGGCAACACTTAGCGAAACTTGTCAAAAGAAAATAAAAAAAGTTTCAAAAGGGATTTCTTTCATTTTCTAAATTTTATCTTGAGAAAGAAAAAAAAGTTTCAAAAGGGATTTCTTTCATTTTCTAAATTTTATCTTGAAGTTTCCTCAATTTGGTTTACATTAAAGATACATTACAATAAGTTTTTTTTCTCTGTATTAAACTTTACTTAAAAGCAGTATTCTAAGGGTATAAATACAACTTTAATATGTCATAGCTTACTCTAGTTGGTACTGCACAGCAAACAAACTGTAATTGGGGGAAGGAGGAGGTCATGTATGCTATTGTTCTTGATGGTGCCAACATCAAACTTCATAATTAGTTGTATAGATTAACTTTTATGTAGCTATCTGAAATGCCAATCCTTGTACAGTAGTTTGTTTGTGTGTTTGAATAATTGCCTCATATCCTATAATTGCTTTATGTTGAACTTGGCCTCATGGCACAGTTGGTAGGATGGAGAAGCCAATCTGTAATTGGGGGGGTCATGGGTGCTGCTGTTTTTTATGGTGAAAGGCTAAGGAAGCTAATAATATTAAACTTTTACTGCAATTTAATTTAAATTTGCACCGCAGTTGTGTGTTCTACTACTATGTACAGTGTCAATATGTGGTTGTATGGTTAACTTCTACCGGTACATATGTACCGTAGTTAGTCTATGAAAATAATTTGTGATTGCTGGCGCAGATTTTTAAACTGTCAAAAAATTTGCCACAGCAGTCATGGTGCGGATGAGAAACCAAGTAGGCTGTAGTAAAATGGGGTGATCGCAACTAAACGTGACAGTACGTACATAATAGCCTGTAACAAAACTTGGAGGCGGTCCATAGTGGGACAGAAAGCATAAATAGGAAAAACGCCACAAATAAAACAACAAGAAGCTATCGATGAAGACCATGCTGTGAAAGAAGGCAAAGCTATGCCATCGAAAAAGTTCGGTCTTCCAATAACCATTAGCACACCCTCATGGATCTTGACCTTCTCATCCGCCTTCTTCCTGCCTGCTGCCCTCTGGCCTTCCCTCTCTGCAACTGTTGCTGGCCTTCTTCTTGCTGATGCAAAGACTGGATGTATGCAGCAAACATGCATTGATTGCTATTGCCTGGGAGGCCTTCTTTTTATACCGTGGGTACAAACGTGCTCCAAAGCTGTTCGGCGTCCGTAGAAAGTCTTGACAGAATGTGAAGACGTGTCAGACCTTGATTCAAACACGAGAAATGAGGGTCCCCATCAGAATGTGACAGGCCAAGAGGGAACGCATTGGCATCCATGGTAGACCACGGGCCAAACCATAGTGCGCCTTTAAGCCTCCGGGACTCAGCCCAAGCTCACCACGGATTTGCTAAGGCCATTTTGTTAGCAAGTTTCCATAAATCCATGGTAGCCATACGTAAATCAGATCCCCCAAACGTGTAAGTGTTTATAGTCGCATTAAATTACATTAACTTGACCAAACATTTTTTTGTACAAACAAAGAAGTTTCTGCTCTTTAAAAAAACCATTATTCAACACACAGTCGAGTCAACGGCAAAGCACATGGGGAATTTCCTGAATTGGTTGAATGAATTTTTGTAAACAGTTTACGACAGGGTTTGACGTTCAATAATTTTAATTTTTCCGTTCTTATTAAACATATTAAATTTGCTACAGTAGTATGCACTTCAATCATTAAATAAATCATTGAATCATTTTGATAATGAGCTAGAAATAAGCCTATTTGTATTCTTTTCACTCTAACGTTATTACCACAACGTACAAGTGAGGCTGTTTATTCCACACGCTCTTTGCATATACTTTGTAGACACATTCACAGCATTCATTGAAATTAACTGCCAATGTTGTTTTTTTAATGTTTCCATAAAGGAATAAAACATTAAAAATATTTGTTCTGTCTTACATTATTCGTAATGATCTTAGAGAAAACATGCGCATATTCTTTACTTTTGCTGCATAGTTCGTAGAGTATGGATCATGTGCTCTCTAAATGTGGTCTTTCTCGGATGTTCTACTCGCTCGATCAAGGCTTGACGATCGACCTGACTAAAGAATGTTAACAGTGCTGTTTTTTTAGTGACGACGTTGGTAATGTGTTTGAATGAAAACATTAAAATGTTATTTACTTTGTGATGATTGGCTATGGTACAACAATACAGGCTTAAGCCTATAGAATATCGTTTTGATTTTGAGGTAATTGAGTGCTAGGTTTAGCAGGGAACCTTCATGTTTTGGAGTAGGCCTAGTAATATTGTACTTTGTCAAGTGTGTTCCTTCAACATATGACACAAGTAAAATGACAAGAACAAAAATATTTCCAGCTGATAATACCACTTTAATTTGAAAAGTTAACACAATGATTTAATAATATATTTAATGATTAAACTACATACTATAGTAGGAAACTAAATTAAGTTTAATAAAAACAAAATTATAGGCTTTTAATGAAATCTGTGCCGTTGCAGGCTTGCGCACTGCGGCTTGGGCCGACGCTAATTTTGATTGAGTGAACGATGAAAGTTTATTAAAGTATGACTGCGCATGCGTTAATTATTTCATGTAGATATATATCGTTTACTGACTTGTTTACGGTCACGTAAATATATCCACTTCCCTATTCAAAACCAAGAAATAGTAAATAAATACTAACCAAAAAAATAATAAAGTGCATATCCTAATTAACACACACCATCATATTTAATGAGAATTAAATGAAGTACAATAGTGTCAATCCCTGCTGTTTGTTGTCAGTGAGTGAACCCTTGTATGGAGTGTTCTTACCATAGGCCTACAGTAGGCCAGGATAAACCATGGGTGAACCTTGCTAACAATTGAGACTGAAAGTCAGACTAAAGTAGGCCCCTGCCCTACTACTTAACTTTCCAGAGACACATAATTACACGATAATCAATCAAACAACCAGTTACACTGGATAAAAAATATAGATCTTTTAATTCTACATCATTGCACGACATGTTCACTTTCAGGTTTTTTACTAGTACTATTGTACAACAGCAGAAGAAAGACGAGATACAGAAGATCTTAGCGTAAACATGGAGTGCAGTCGAATTTTGGCCTGGGCTTACCTGCCATTCCGAGCGTCAGGGCCGTTTTCATAACATCAACATCCGATTGATCACCGTTTGGCGTGGCTACCCCTGCAATTAAAATGAACAGGAACGTACATAAGTATTCAGCAATCATGCGTCTAAATAATTCAACAGAAAATGAACATGATTTTGTTGATTTTCCACTTGAATTTGATTCTGTATCACAGCGATTATTTCGCCTCCTCCCCGCCATGGTGGTGGCTTGCTGAAGTTTTGATTGGGTTGAGAACAAATTCTTTGCGAAATTGGTGTTCGTTTTCAAAACTCTAGGGGCAGGCTTTAAACTGGTTGCCGTCAACAGCTAAGACTGAATTATTTATTATTAAATTTATCAAAATAATACTAATAATTATACTTAATAATACTAATAATTATATTTAATAATACTAATAATTATACTTAATAATACTACTAATAGTTATACTTAATAATACTACTAATACTTATATTGTTATTAAAAAACGACGACAATTATATTGATTTCAGGTTTTTATGTACTTTTTTAGTTTCCATATTTCTCTTCCTTTGTGGGGATTTATCGTTGAATAAATTAATTGACTGATTGTTACTAATAATAATAATAATGATGATGAAATAATAAAAAAATAAGTTAAGAATATAATAAATAATATAGAATAGGGAAATGAGACCGACCCATAACCTCGGAAATTTAATATTGTCTTTTTCGCAATTTTAGGGTTATCATATCCCCGATAGGCTCTTTTGTGATTTTATCACTCCATATTTATTTTTTTTTTCTGTTTTGTTTTGTAAGAGCAAATGAATAAAGCAAAATAAATCATTTATGATATTTATAGTTTATATACAGCATCACGGTAACGAATGCACCATTTACTCTTCCCTTCTTTCTTATCTCCGAGTGCAATTTTCAGTTTGACTCCCATAATAAGTTACTTATATACCCAACCCTATATGTCCCTCAGGGATCAATGCTTATTGGTAATTACAGGTATGTTTTAAATACAGTATAATACACACGTATTTTAATAATTTATTTTAATGATTTACCCAATAATTTATTTCGATTATTTTCGAATAATAGTACCTTATTTACATCTTTTTTTCAGAATGGTTAGGTCTTAATGAGGCCAATTTTTATTCCCAAAAGAAATTGCACGTACACCAATAAATAATAGGCCTAAAAAAACTGTGTCATTTTTTAGTCATCACTATTTTCACTCAAAAGATCATATATATAACTTTTTTTTCGAAAACTAAAATATTTGGACGTATTCACACTTCATAGCTTCGATTATTTTAAATTTTATCCAACTTATAACATAATTTATCAGAATTTTTTTAGAATATTTGACGATTTTATTTATATCCATAGGGGCCTACCCAGATGTAGAACTAATTTAGAATTACATGTACGGGTGCCTAATTGTGGATCACAGAGTATAACACTTCCTATTCCGAAAATCAGTATCAGAAAATATTGTTACTCCGTGAAGAATGTTCAAACTGGTCGTTTTGTGGACATACCTGATATGTTATTGGGTGGGGTGTGACTAAGGGGCCAAGCTTGATTAAGCACCTGTGCTTTTCTTCTACCAAGTGATGTATGCAAAAACAAGAGTGGAGCTACCGAAAAATACTCGCGTATTATACAAGGCTTAAAATAGCAACGATCGAAAAACAGAGGATCGTCTCATACGCGCAGTACATAAAAATGTTATATTTTTTAATTGACATAATTATGTTCGTCTTATGTGCAGATCGTCTGAATCAGTGAAGCTACCAACTGTTAATATGAAAATGAACACAATTTAAAATGTTTAACCCCCCCCCCCCCCCACACACACACACACACGCGCGCTGGATCCGCTCTTTGTTCTACTAGTGATGTTCCACAAACTAGTGGTTCTCTCACTGACTGCATAATTATTTACCAACGTACGAGGGCGTATAATTATACCGTAATTCAGTATAATTATTTAACTTGATTTTCGGTTGACTAGAATGTTTCTTACCGTGAATAATAGCGTTTTATATTCTTTCTTTCAGAGTTAAGGGTCTCAGTGAACAGATATTATGAACAGAGCACTACAGAATACGGGCATGAAAATCGAATTTACTGTAATTTGGCTCAATCCAGAAAATATTATTTTGGATTGTGGCCTATGTGTAAAAATATAAATAGCAAATACCGATTATATTTCTCAACCTATCATGTATGGCAGGGGCGGATCCAGAATTTTTCAAACAGGGGGGGGGGATTAAGTAATTGAGATTTTGCTATTCTTTCAAAAAGCAATTAAATAATTTTAGATAAAATATTCGGTGTTCCTTTCCACATTATACTTAAACTATAAAGTAAATCGTTTATGAATTTAATCTTAATTAAACTTACAGTATTAAGACATTAGGAAACTAAACTTAAATCGAATCAAAACTGTTCAGTATTACTCAGTGTATTTTGTATTAGTAAATCATAAATAGATTTTTACAGGGCGTAGTGGGTGATGTGGCCATTTCGAAATCTATTGAACTTACCTGTATTGGCAAAACTGCTGTCTTCTCCTGTTTGGTTTATTTGTAATCGTATACCCTTCTGGTATTTAGGCCAAAATATTTTGTGTTGCTTATGTGAGACCGAACCACTAATTTCGAAAATCTAGGGTTGGTTTTGCTTTCTGAAAAATATAGCATTTCCTACAGGAGACCAAAATAATTGTAGTGTTTAAAAAGTGCTGTGTGTTGTTTTCTAACATCTTTCTCTCGGCACCCTAAATAATGTATCACGGTCTACGCACTTCAAAGCTCGAAATTTGGCAATTTTGCCTTTAATTCCCTCAAACAATCCAGTATTATCAATAATTTAATTTATCAATCCACGTTCTGTTCTTATATTTCCAAAAATTACTACCTAGTGTAATTGTTTGTGATTCTATTATATACAGTTTGTATTGTATAAGTTATTTGTATGTTATAACCATCATTATAGGCCTACTAAAAAACTAAATTAATTAGGTTATATTAGCACAACTAATACTAATAAACATTTCAAATTTATAATGGCAAACAACTGATATTTATGTGTAATATAAAAAAGTCAGTACAATAATACTAAAAACACTAGCAACAAAGACAGTTTATTAAAGTGTTTTTTTTTTATTCTGTTTAACTTCCGAGCTCATACACTTGAGTAAAACTATAAAACATTTTTAAGGAATAATTCTGCAATAATAAATCTACAATATTACACAATCTACTTATTACACTGAAACTAGTTCCTTTGTTTAACTAAAGCCTAATTACTGTAAACTTTTCCTCCCTCCAAATTAGCACTTATAATATTATATAAAATATTGTGCTGGAGTTGAAGCTTAGTGGTTAAAATGATTCAATTTCAACCCCAAAGTCTTGGGTTTAACTCTTGCCAAAATTAAAGAATCATTTTGTTCACTAAAAAAAATAAATCTTACTGGCCCTGTGGGAGAACACATCGTGCTAATGCACTAAGCAGGTTCCCCAGTATAAATAAGAAATGAAATAAAACAACTTCCTAGCATATACAAACAGCACCAAAAATACAATAGGAACAACATATGCTTACTGTAATTGTTACATTAAGCACCTCTCTCAAATAAGCGGTGTACCACACATGATTTTTTTTCCACTAAGAGCAACTCTTGAATATATTAATATAGATATATATTATAAAATGAACGTCACAGTGCTTATCGAGAAGTAAATACCTAACATGCTTTGATGTTTCCTATCATGGGAATTCTATTACAGTATTAAATAACCAATTTCTCATGGATTAAGTAAAATTAATGTTGCGGAACAAGTAAAAATAGGTTTGTGTACAAAACAATGTACAATCTTTAGCACTGCAATAATTTGTAAGTAGCTGCAGTCTTGAATAAGCGCTACAATTCAAACACTAAAAATGTTATAAATGCTACTGTATTGGGGCATTTACAGTAAATGATGATAATCTTCAACAACTGGTTATTTAATCCCCTGCTAAATGCCTAATTAGGTTAGCACCTTGCCTTCCAAGGGAAGGGTTTAGTTTCAATCCTGGAAGAAGTCACTAAATTTCCACACCACTTAATAAGCATCAGACTTGGTTATACAACCAGTTACACAATATTTAATTAATTTATTTATTTATTCTGTTTTTACTCCAAGATATAGATGGTAGGTTATAAAGGAAAAATAATTCCTATTTCAAATGGGATTCACCTGCCATATACATATTCTGAGCAAACTGATATTACTATTTAGCTAGGTTTAATCAATGATAATGAAATAATACTATTTCAAAGATTCAAGATAATTGAGACATACAAAAGTTAACAAGGCCCATTAACAAAACGAAAAAACGACAAGATGATCGTTGTGCGAGATGGATAGACTAAATTGTATAAGAGAGCACGGAAGATGGAAGCTTTAAGTATTGAATGTTCCTTGATTACAACGAGATATAAAATTACTAACAGTTAAGCTGGGCACTTACTGTGCCTGATAGTCATCAGGCTACGTGATTCTATAAAGAATGCAATGCCACGATGTGTACACAGGGTGCAGTTTTTAATGGCAATCCGGTCAGACTGCCACCGACAATCAGCAGACAGTGTCGCGTCATCTACTGCTCACAGGGAGCGGAGTTCGACTCACCGTACGACTGTCGCACAATGCAGTGAGTGCCCAGTTTTAGATGAAAACAACAAGAAAGTCCCGATGCTTTTAGGGTTCCCAAGCAGTGGCGGCTCTAGGATATAATTTACCTATTTTTTTTTTTTTTTGTCCAACTGGCTGACAAGCTTTGGCCGATTGGGGGGGGGCTTGATGAGACCGATGGGGGGGGGCTTAAGCCTCCCTGCCCCTCCCCCCCAGCTGGCGCCGCCACTGTTCCAAAGTATCCTGAAAGTAGAGGGAGTCTTCCAGAAATTGAATCGACATCCCACAAGTTCGCAAGCAAGAATCTCGCGGAAACTAACCAATCTCCCCCAAATTCATTATGGCAGGTTCACACGAGAGCCCTAGTATCCGGATTGGGAGTTAACTGTTAGCGCTAACTGTTAGCACTCGTGTGTGAAACCCGATGGGTTAGCGTTAACTGTTACCAGGATCCAGATAGGCTAATGGCTAGCGAGCGCTATCAGTTAGCAAATTAAGCGCGTTTCTGTCATCAACTAATCACACATACGTGCTTCCGATTTCCAGTGTTTCGATCATCCTCTTCTTGGTATCTGGATTGTGGATTGTTTTGTATGAACACATTGTAGCTAACGGTTAGCAGGATCCAGATCCTGCTAAACGTTAGCTGCCGTGTGTGAACATAGTCGATAACTGCATGTTTTGACTACTTTATTACAATTTTCTTATCAATTGTCTCACAAAAATCAGTGTCGATGTGCAGCAAAATAAAATTTGATGAGGTAAGAAAGCTCACTTAAACATATATCCCAGATTTCTTTCAACTTGGGTCCCCTGATACTTACTATGCAAATCAATGGGAAATGATAAAAAAACCCATCCATATACATTTACCACAGTATTTTCCCTGCTTATTGTGGTTCTCAAAATAATGAATAATGCTGCTTTATACAAGCAAGACTCTCCAGCTAGCAATACAGAAATAATTAGCTTTTTAGAAACATGTCTAAATATATATACACATAATACCTGTTAAGTTTGCACATACTGAACTTAGAGTGATAGCATTGTGCTGACCAACAACTCACAATTATTAACGAGTGAATTTGATTCCATCAAGTGGATATTTGCTTGTTGTTGGGATCTAGTGAGTAGACCTACTCTATTGTTCATGAACTCGGTGATAAATATCAGAACATTATATTATCATTGTTGCCAATATTGTTTTTTTCTGACTATTGTTATCAAAATCTTGCTCAAAAACCAAGGACAGAAAGGTGGCCACTCTGAGCTAAGCTCAGAGCTGCACCTTTGACTTTACCTCATCATCTTCCTATTAAACCACAATCTGGAAGTCAAACTTTGAAAGACCAAAATACAGCATTGACAAAAAGTCATAAAAGGAATGCAGAAAAACTTACCCAGTATTATAAATATGGAACGCTCCAACAAATTTAAGAATAGTTTTGGAGCAATCAACAGTTGCATAATATTATGTACCAACTATTTATTTTTAATAAAGTTAAACTGAAGATGAGGGAGGTGTTAATTTTGAGGTAAGAATACATGAGGATGAACGGCATGTGTTAAATAATGTTTTAAATAAATATAAAATCTTAGAAAAGCTAAATTAAAAGATTACAAATTCTCTTCAGAGATTTCCATAAAAAGGAAAATCTATAATTACTATATTCATCTATAATACATTTTCAACATCATCATATTTTAAGTCATTTTACAAAGTTACTTTGAACTATTCTCTCTTTAACATAAAGCAACCTGACAAAATAAAAATAAATTATATTAGCTTAGTGTATGTTTATGAATTTGCTGATAAAAAAAATACTATAGTATTCCTTTAAGCATTGTTGGTCTTTATCATATACATTATTGTCTATATTATTGTTTTAAAGCAAAGTAAACTTGTGAACAAAGTACACACAATTGTTAGCATTTCATTATTTGTTACATATTGAAAAATACATCTTATAATTACAACATGAAAAGTCATGTCAATATTAAAAGATCTAATTTCTCTCAAAATATGGCAGAACCACTCGTTTTTATAAATTTGCAATGAAAAAAAAACAAATTAAAGCTACAAACCTAATAAACTTCATATAGAAAGATTTAATAGAATAGACATTTATAATAAAAGCATTAGGTAAAAAAAATACTCAGATAATTAGCCAATGACTGACTTTTAAACTACTATGTGACCTAGGTTTTCATAATTTCACTGTCTCCACACCAAGACACCTAAAAATTAGCCTAAATTATTTGGACAGATAATATGACAAGCTATAATACATAAAACAGTAAGAAAGCAAAAAGTATCACTTTTGAGACTAGATTAGATGTTATTATTTAGGTGGGGAAAAGTAGGAGGGAATCAACAATTATTCTTCTTATTCTCACATTCCTTAAAAAAGTATATAACATAATATATATATATATGTAAAGTAAGATACTGAAAACAACAATGCTGTAGGCTGAATACAACTGAAAGCTAAATTTGGACAACATTAATGTGTAAAATTGCTACATAGCACAGTCAATATATAGGCCCCATGTACAGCACAGATATTAGGGAGACACCATCAGGACTAGAGAAACTGTCACCATAATAGGGGTTGGCCTCAGTCCTAAATGGATTTCTCTTATTTTTTCAGCCTTAATAGACTGCATCTTTATATTTGAGTTTACATTGGTATTTATATATCAGCACCAAGTGGTTCATATATATTTAAAACATTTCTGTTTGTCATGAGGTATCCTGGTCTTAAACAGCACTGAGTCAACACGAAACTGTGTGTTTAGAAGTGGTGTATAGCCAAACACTTTAGTGAAGAACTGGATGCATTTATGCCGTTCGTTGAAATGAGAATCTTCCAAGGAGAGAGCATCTGGACAACCTGGGCAACGGAACGTCCACCTTGAAGTAACCTGTAAACAAAGGGTACACCGTCAGACTCAAAAATTTGAATGTAATTTTCTTTTATCAACCATTTATTTTAATTCTGTAAAATTTAGGGCCTCCTGATTTTTGAAAAAAGTTATTAATTATCCAGGTTAAAGCAACACAGGAGAAAATATACAAAGATGTTCATTACCTGAGAATTGCTACTATCAAGTGGCTGCCCTACAGTAAACATTTTTACATAAGGCATACATAAAAACAAATATAAAAGATTCTAACAGACCACCAATAAAATATTGGAATTAAAACATAATTCCAGTTAAGTCTATGCCGCCTATGTGAAAGTTATTTATTTTGTTATTGATAAAGCAAGAAAAATAATGGAATCATGAAAAGTTGGTATAAAAATCCAGCAGACCCCAAACATTTTTGCAGACCCCAAAATTGTTAATTTTTCGTGAACCCCCCAGGTTGGGAACCACTGCTCTAAACAATAATCATAAATAAAGGACCAGGTATGTATGGATGACTTACCTTAATTGGGGGCTTGCGGGTAATGTGGGAAACAAGGAAGTTCATGGCGATGTCCTCACAGTTCATATACTCATCAACCTTGTCGCGAATAACTTTTGGCATTATGTAGCTGTATACATATGAATAATACTGAAAGAAAAATCAAGTTCATGAAAAATTATCATTAATTTTTTTTTTGTTCATGAAAAACCAGAAATTACTCCTGGTATGGTGAAGAGGGCACTCAATTTTAAAATTTCAATTCATATCAATGTTATATATTGAAATAAGCGCTACTCAATCATCTATTCTGAAAATGTTGTTTCTCCCCCTCCCCCACCTCTTTAAACATACATATAAATAAACTTAAGAGATCTTAATTTCATCTTAGTTTTACATACACTGGACAAGTAGAGATAATATATACAGTATATTACCTCAAAATATTTATAGATCTTGTAAATTTACTTTCATGTTTTTGCAGTTTGTTTCACTAAACTGAACAATATTCTATGAAATCTCCAATCCAATCACTGGTACAAAATTGCATATTTATGATGATATATACATTCAGTCTACTGCCCTCTCTTGTTTTCCACTGTAATTTACTTAGTTTAAACCATAGAGATATAATAAGAATACTAGAGCGCTAACAGCAATGTATTTGATGTTCGAAATACGCAGAGCTGTGTGTGTGTAC